GAATTTAATCGAATCTCACGAATTAGCCGGCTGCACTTTAAGTTAGTTTCCGTCCTGGGTACAGTTTCTTAACTGGGCTATGCTAATATCGCTTGAAACTATCGATTCGATTACCGTAGTAAACCTTCATGCGATTTTTATACCATCAGCAAGTTTGGTTGGTTAGGTTAGGTTATGATAGTTTAATTTTATAATAGATATATTTAAAAATATCGATTATTAATCAATATTTTAAATTCGATAGTTTCAATCGATATTAGCATAGCCCAGTAAAGAAACTGTACCCTACGTCCTACACTCATTCGAATGAAAAATATCAATATATCAATTATCATTCGGTTAAACCAAACTTCATATATCGAACTAAATAATCGATATATTCATTCGAACGAGTGTAGGACGTAAATTAAAGTGCAGCCAATTAGCCTACATTTCCATTTGACATTCCTGCTAAGGCCTTTATGTTAGGTAGATACAGTGATACAACTAGGCCTAGGCTATACCGTTTTCCTGGTCTCTTACCTTGCTTCTGACTTAGGTATACTAGGCTACCACTACACTTCTGAAGTGGCAAGTAGAAGTTAGTTGTTAAACCTTTCTTATTCTACTTGTCCGTTGTCGTATTTAAACAAACTTTACAGAAGAAATTAAATAGAATTCCTGGAACGTGAGTGTCGATGTCAATGTGCTTGGCTTGGCTTGCTTGCAGTGTTTCCATCCGCAAGAAAAAAATATCCCTGAGCCAACGTCAAAAAATCCCTAGTTATCCCTAGTCCGTGTTCTAATAATCCCTCCAATTATCCCTCTTTATCAAATCTAGATAACTTTATTTTTGCAGCAATACCAATGGATATCATGCATAGCCACCTAAAATATGGTAACTGGTGATAGTATTCTTCAATATCCCATATTATTTATAAAGTAATACTATATAAAAAACATTTTTGTACCATTAAAACCACAGCCATCTTTAACTCCAGGCAGGCCGCGGCCCAGTAGAATTGGCAACGCTGCAAGTACCGTAGTATTGTTTAGCGCAAGACGCCCTATAAGTTAACATGGAAATAAAACATAATATTATAGAATCGAAAACCAAAGCAATATAACAACGTTGCCACTTCGAAGGCCGCGGCCTCCAGCCTGGAATTAAAGGTAGCCATGATTTAAAACTGTCTATGTTGTACAAAACAAGATTAATTAACTAAAAAAATGAAACAAATAGTTATTTTTAAAATGTTATAAACTAATAATTTTTATTTATAAGTATTTACAATTGTTTCAAAAATATTACTCAAGTGTCCAAATTTCAAACTTAATTGTCTTTTTCAAACATGGCCACCATGCCTTGGTGAAAAGGTTACACCTACACCAAGTTACTTACTAACCAAAAAACACCACAGAAATCACCGGCAAACAAAATCAAAACGAAAACAAACATTCGACATTGACACAGGGCACAGGGCTACTAAGAAAGTAACAAATTACAGTAATCTAGATCCGCCATTCCATTCCACCGGCCGACTCCAGCCCTTTGCTTGTTTCTTGCAGTGTTGGCTGTTACTCTTCCCCTTGTGTGTTCGTGTTCCGACTTTGAAACACTACGTCACTACCACTACCTACAACCATAGATAAAACATACTCCTTGAGGAGTATCTTTTATCTATGCTACAATCGATTTGTTACCAAAACCTAGGGAAAAAGTAGTATGATCAATGTGTTATCAATACCTTGCAAAATTAGCCAAAATAGGTCCTTAACGTTGTTGAAATACAGCCATAATGTATTATTTTATCAATATTTCAATTTTATAATGTCAAAGGCCTGAAATCCCTAGAAAATCTAAAAAATCCTTCAATTTCGCTGATTATCCCTAGTTATCCCTCAATCCCTTTTCAATCCCTCGAAGGCCCTAAATATCCCTAGAAAGGGATTTTTATCCCTCAAATGGAAACACTGCTTGCTTGGACCACGACCGGCACGACCACAGGACACAGACAAGGGATTGTGAACTCCGATCCGAACTCTGAACTCGAAATCGAACTGGCGCTGGGGCGCTATCTACCAGGTGTCACTAACATTCACGTTCGTAACAGTTCGTTTAACTGCCGCTAGGTGTCTCTTAAGTTGAATGTCCAGCTCTCGCTGTGATTTTGTACAAGCTGGTATATGACTACCCTAATTTGCTTCCTTCTCCGCAATCCGCAGTTGTATCTTTTCTTTTACCCATTGTTTGAAAAGCCGAGAGTCGTGCCTCTTACCTGAGGCCGATGATTGGCTTATAACTCTCACTAGATGTTCCCTGGAGGACCAAAACTCCAGAGACATGGCCGCACTATAGGCCTTTCCTGAAGGACAAAAAAACCCCACAATGCGCCGTCGCCGTGCTGGAGCACTAAAGCTGGTGTGGTCGTGGTCACGGCGTAAGGTTACTGAATATGGTTGGTTGTTGGGTTGTTTATTATATTAGTTATTGTGTCCAAACTACATGAATCATTATTATTTTTTTCATGAAATGAAATGAAATTAAATAATATTTTATTTCCCATTAATTAGATACATATGAATACATTGTATTTTTTTCTTTACTTAAATATAATACAGCAAACATTACTAACTAGATAACAAAATAAAAATTGAGTTGCGAAACGGTTAATTTAAATGGGAGGTAAAAAATGTATAGGAAAACAAAAAAGATAGTATAAGTTAATTTAAAATTTTTATATTTGTCTTGCTTGAAACTGATTTTTTAGTGTTATGGAATTGAATTGACGATAAAAACTCTTCGTACAAACTGAGGTAATTTATCAAACTCTGGTGAAAATTGAAGAGGAGAGGTGGAGTGTGGTGTAGCCTATTAGTCAGTCAGTGAAGATGGTGTGAAAGTGATTGTGTAGTGGAGTGTAGGGTCAACGGTCAGGTCGGCCTAACGCGATAATGGCCTCGGTATCCTCTGAACTCAGTCCTACAAGCCCTACAACATGCTTCTTAAATAGAGAAAGAGAGGGTGAATTTAGAATGTTGACATTTTGATATCTGTTACACATTTTACGATAAATGATTTGGGTTAAGTGAAAGCAATTCGTATGTGAAAATGTTTTTAAAGTTTGTGGAACATTTATACCAACATTTCGAGAAAAGTGCGTATTGTGGGGATGAGTAATTTTTACAAAAATATCATCAAAGTTTTTGTACATGTGAACTAAAATAAATTTTAAAAATAACTACCTGACTGTCAAAACTCCCGATTCTAAGATCGTCAGTTGAATATCTAAAGTGTTTTTTTAAAAGCAACTTTAAGTATCGTTTTCTGCACTACAAAAACAGGTTGCAAGATAGTTTTGTAAGCACCACCAAAAGCAATAATTCCAAAAGACAACAATGATTAAATATTATTATGCATATAGTATGCTATTTTAAATTAATTCTTGCTCTTCGAGAATATCACTAAGTTGCCTAAATGCATAAATATATTTACGTAATTTGTTTTTTTAGATATTCAACATGTTCCGACCAATTCATCTTTGAATCAAAAACGATACCAAGATATTTGTATGAATCAACTTTTTCAATTTTGCTACAAGAACAAGAGTTATTGGAATGGCTTCCACAGACATGAATAGTTAGGTTATCAAGTTTGTATTCGGTTACCTTGCGTAATTGAATTGAATTGAATTGAATGAAATTGGCATACATTTTGTTTTAGATATATATTGAGAGACAATACATTTTGGTCAAGCCATTTTTTAGCAAACAGAGGTCTGATTCTGCCTTATTTTTAACCTCCTCCCAGGATGCTCCGGTTACAAATAGAGTATCATCAGCAAATAATGTTAATTTCCCATTTGTTTGAATTTTAGAAATATTATTCATATAAATGAGGAATAAAACAGGACCTAGGGTCGAACCCTGGACCACACCATACTCCATTGGCAAAACATCGCTTGACACTTCACCAAGTGCGACAGTTTGTAGCCTATCAGAGAGGTAGCTGCTGAACCAAGCGAGCGATATGCCATGTGGAGTCTTAGACGTAAACTCCCGCCGGTCACGTCGTTAAAGCTAGGCCTAGGCATGCGTGTTACGTGTTTTTAAATGTTTTTAATGTATGTAAATTATTTGTGAACTTTGACGACCTTCGGAAGAAGTGATAATGTCCTTGGAAAACCTGAAGATGGCTCCGTTATGAGCCGAAACTAGTAGTTTCACAACCACTTGGGATTGTCGACATTACAGGTATTTAAACCACTTTAATTGTATCTCGATAATCCGGAGGCTACCCATTCAAAAAAAATATTATTTTTCTAGTTGATGGCGCTAATTGGCATTAAATCAGTTTTGAAATATTGAGCAGTGGTTGATGATCACTAAAAAAATTATTTATATCACTTAGATTTTTGCTAATACAGTAGCTTATTCTTATTTGGAACTAATTTTCAAATTAACATCGTCTGCATATACGCAAACTTTGTTTTCCTTATTACCAGTTTAAACGACTTTAGGTAATCCATTTATATATTAAATTAAAAAAAAGGAGGCCCGAAATTGAGCATTTATTTTGATTATTGTGAACTAGCTCAACATACTGTTTTCTTCAATTGAATTGATTACAGATTCTATGAGCTCAACTGACGCATTATTGTAGACGCCCTTTTCTAAAATCATGTTGCTCTTTGTCAATTGAATTACCGGTATATTATTTATTTTAAAAAGTTATTAATCCATTATACATTGCTTTCATAAATCTTAGAGATAATTGATAGTAATGACAACTGTCTATAATTTGACACAGTTGATTCATCTCCCTTCTTGAAAAGAGGTTTAATTTTGGCAATTTTTTGGCATCTTGTGTGTTATTATGAACTTTACATAGCCACAAGTTATTATGTTTAGAGTCTACCTCAACAGAACTGCACTTTATGCTTTTTTTTAAAAAAAAGATAGTCTAGATAAATATCAGAGGAGGAGGATAAGAAGGAGGAGAAATACAAAAAACCACAATATTTCAGTTAGCTGACTGGTTTATTGTATTGACACATAATAGCGTATGGCACTAGACAAAGTGCATTGGACAATTATGGACAATATTATGGTGAAAAGCAACAAATAGTTGTATTACATTACAATATATACATCCCATATACATGATAGATTTTTGGTTATGTAGAAAATATCATCGGTTAAGTATTGAAATTAATTGGATAAAAAATAATTGGTCTTGTTTTCAAAGTATATACATTTCATCAGTACCTATGTTATATACAATAATATTTACCTAATACTGATTCACGCTCAGTCATCCTGTCCTTCATTATCAAAAGATTCTTTCATATTCCAATTAATATTTAATTTTAAACAAAAATATAGTTTAATTTTTTTTGTATTTTATCGTACTTGTGGCAAAACATCAAAATAGAGACAAAACGCTTAGTGTGGGCATTATTCAATACAAAGGTTAAGTCTTATATCTAGGGGAAAATCAGAGAACAAATTCAAAAGAGAAAACATAATCTTAGTTCAAGGTACAAACAAAGTAAAATTATTCTTTTAAGCCTAAATTGTTAGGATGTGACATATATAATATGTCTGAATATGGCTGCTAAAAATAACAATGAAAAGATAGAATTGATGAAAAAAATTTAGACTCTTAATATTATTGTGAACTATAATCACAAAATTATTAATCACGAGTTTCTTGAAAGGTACAAAAATGTTAGTCCATAATGGATTTAAGTAAAAGAAATATTGATAGTGCTATCATAAATGTTGTGAATCCTAATTATGTAAATGGAAATCGCAATAATGTCTTAAGACATTACAGAAAAGGCTACCAAAAATACCACAACACACTCGCTCGAATCAAGTCAAAAATTCGCTCGTTCGTTCAGACCCTAAAGTAATGATCCTGGATAAGTTTCATTTGCATTGCTGGCATTACTTTATCTTAAAGTGAATTAATAGTGAAAAATCAGAAACATGTAAATGACCATACTACACTAGAGGGATTAGTGGAGTAAGAATATAATAGTGTTAGAAATAGAACATGGCAATTACTCATAAGGTACACATGGACTTAATGTATTAATGTGTATAAATAAGGATTTCCAATGCCATACAAAGAGTATGGCACTGTAACGTTCTAGTTTGTAAGAAAAATCATACGGTCACAGGTCGTTAAGGCATTGATGTTTTTAAATTCTAACACAAAAGTATCATTATTAACAAAAATTATCAAAACAATTTAGTTTAACCTTTTACAAGAATAAACTTCGTTGAGCATAATGTAACATGAATCTAAATTGCAACAATTTGGCCCTACACAATTTTTGACAGGGAAAAATATTTACTGTGAGAATGTTTTATTTCTTACACTGAATATATTCATCTATAGGCCTTTAAGGGGAGGGAATGATAGTTGTTAGCTTACCTAAAACTATTTTCTACATCATGTTTAAACTATATTGTGTACGATCTCAATGATGTCGTACTTATAATTATATTAAAAATGTCAGAGACATCAGGACGCCCTTAAGACAGTCCCAGTTTTGCGATGTTGCCAGTTTGATTGATAAAACTTATTATACTCGAGTAAAAAAACCACAACTAACTTTTACAAAAAAACCAAATCCTAATTCAAAAAGGCGATATCACAAATACGTTTTCAGATTATAAACATCGATGGAATAGTCGCTTCCGACTCGCCTACTCACTAAAATAAGCGACATCAGTTTCTTACATGACGACATAGAAAAGCCACTTATCATAAAAATAAATATATCACAATAATATCGTAAAGCTAATAAACGTAACCTAAGAACCTAATTTAGATAGTTACTTCAGTTATGAGAGGTAACCGCTTTTACAGGCGAGGGTTGGTGAAAGCGGACATTCACATATGAAGAGGTAACCAAGCACAAAACTAATTGAGGCAGGGGGGGAGCAAGCATCAAACATGAGTATTGTCGGGAATACCTGGCCCATGCATGCTCAGCACTCAGTAGGTATAGAACACGGGGACGCTACAACAGGTCATAGTGTCCTGTGAGAGGTTACTGCCAGGCGGAGAACCTTCACTACAGATCAGTATTGTCAACACTCAATTATGGTATTATGGATTCCAAACAGTATTACCTTGTACATAATTTTATTTTGGTTCAAGGTTACCGTATTTTTTTAGAGTGGCAACATGGTAACGAGAAAAAAAATTCATAAGGAAAAATTATATTACAAAGTGAATGTTTCTAGAACAAATGGGTTATGTATGACAACTTAATCGCTATATTGTCTTAGACTTGCAATGAGTGGGAATCAAGAATCTACATTTAGAAACTCTCCCCTAAACTGAAAAATATTCCCATATAACGATGCCAATGATTAATTTGTAATTTACTTTATTCTCAATGTACCATTTTAAGACAAATAACAAAAGTAAAATGTAATTATAATAAAATATGTCTAAGAAAGTAAAATTATAACTGTGAGGTTTCGTAGGTATGTTCATTTTTTAAGTTAATAGATTAATTCAACCAGAAGCAATGATCGTTACTAATTTTGATTTGGTTTGTACAAGATTTGCAAGGAACATGTTGGGGGTAGTATTTTCTGGTTGTTTAGAATGTCCAAGAACATTAAAGTTGTGAGCCAATCAGTCGTAAGAGGTGCCTACTGATCACCTATACAAGGACAATTCTTGCTCAAACGGTTCTGCTTTGTCTGACCATCTTGGAGTACAGTGCTTTTGAGAAAGTTTTATTATTTTTTAGTCAAATTTCTTTAATTTTCCTTCTTTTTGAGGGCAATTCTTCGAAAAATATATGATTAGAACCTTGGAAATCATAACATTTAATTTGAGTTGTTTTGAATTTACTTTCAAAAATAATTTTCTATTTAAGTAATGCTTGGTTTTTTATACTAGAGGCTCATGAAATGGAACTTATATACCTATCTAAAATACATAATGTAGGCTATAATAAACAAAATTAATAGTAATTCAAGTAAGAAATATGAACGATTGCTAAAATGTTAAGGTGAGAAGATTTTTGATTTTGTTAATAAATAGTATCATTTGAGAAGAAGGAATTTTAGGTGTATTTCAACCAGAGAAAAATAGTTATAATCAATTATAATGGTACAACACATTTGATTAAATTTACTTAACATTTTGGTAGTCCAAACAAGTGTTTAAACTGTTTAAAGTAATGAGCAAACGCTCTGAAATGTTACACTCGGTACACGTTTCAAAAATTTTCATTGTAAAAATTCATTTAATCCACCTTAAAAGCCTTCAGTTTATTTTACAGTATTAACATTAGAATGTCTGACGCTGGTGGTTTCCTCAGCCTGGCAGATGGGTTAGATTTTAGCAAGTATCAAAAAGCAACATTCCACATTCAGAACTAAGTTTATTTCATCCGCTTCTGGCTAAGCTATTAAAGTCTTTACAAAAATATGCATTTCTATAAGAAGTTTAGTTCTGATAACACGTAAAAATGGTGGAAGCGACATGCAGACCAGCAAGGTAAATCCGACACCTACCCGAAACCAAACATGCTGTACTTTGAAATAAACCCAGAGCATCAAGTGAAAGATCTAATACTAGAGAAAATACATATTTACAGACAAAATTATTAGCTGTACTATCACTAGAATGGCGGTAACAAAAGCCAAAAGCCAAAATGACTAGTTAGAAAGGATGACCAGTACAAAACCCGAGTACAACTCGTTAAACACACTCTTTGGTTAGTTTAAGTACAGGACTTGTAAATCGGGGCCCAAGCTTCACTTGTGCTTAAAAAATGTAACAGAAAATGCTCAAAAAAAAAAATACATATAAGGTCATATTTAAATTTACATCTTACTTAACAAATTGATTTAAACTACAAAATATTGTTAGTTGTTGTTACTTACTTTACTTGTCCATGAATTTTTTACATCTTTAGGGCTCAACACTAAGATTTTGTGAATTAAATTGTCGAGGGTTAATTTAGTTTCATATAACACATTATTTGAAGCCTCAATGAAGAAACTTTGTTTTACTAATAACAAATGTTATGCAATCTCTATGCAAAAGACAAAAATGATTATAAATATAATTATTATTTGTATGCATGTTGAAATTTTGCACTTTTTCAATTTTAAAGATTTATTGATTTTTATTATTTTTTTCATAAAACCATTGTTCGATGGAACTTGCATTTCTATTTGGTAACTTACAGGAAATAATTAGAACAACAATAAACTCAACGATTTGCATTTATAACTAGAACTTTTCAAACTGATTTTCACCAGTATAAGTAAGTTTAAAATGTATTCTATATACATTCAATATCAAACCATTTATAATTAAGACCATTGGTTTAGTTCTTTAAGGCTAAATATGGCAACCAATTATTTGGTTTGTATTTTTGGCAATCATGTCTCTTCAGTAACAATTAAAACAAAACCTCACACAGAGAAATTCAAGTATAAAATTAATTTGTACTAAGTAAAATGTTTCCTAAATTAGTAAAACTTAGGGTAATACTGATATGAAGCTTGGGCACCCTATGCCTATATCCTCTGGGAAACAGGGATGACTCCCGTTCTAGGAACCAAGCCCTTGGTGTCACCACGGCAACAGAGCAGCCATGTCTCGTCCACTTCCAACACCAAGCGAAGTCTCTCTCCCTCATTGTACGCTAGATGTCCACTGTCTGAGGGTAACCTATGACTCAATGTGACGACGAACCTGTCACAAACACAGATACTGTTTTACATTCACAGCCGTTCCAATTAAATTACGAACATAAAAGTAAAACATTTTCTTGTCCATTAAATTAGCAATGTAACTGTCAATGTTGAGCTATATTTGAGAGCTTGATGTTAACAATAAAAAAACATTTGAGTAAAAAAAGTAAAAACTTTCAGATCTGTGTGTTGGTCATTATTTTTATTGTTAAAACTTATTTGATTTCTTTTTACGCAAACAAATGTTTTAATACACATATACTCATGATTTGAGTTTGGGATTATGAATAGTATAATCAATAAAAAAAAACAATAATTAATAGTAGTAGTATAAAAAATAAAAACATGTCATCCTTCAGCCATTATGTGTAATAAAAACATATTAACCGGTTATCTTTGAATTTACTATTCGTTCATGAATATATTCTTCCTTTCAGTAAGTTTCTAACATTGTGATTTGAAATTATTTTCTTTGCATGATGTAGTCTTATTTTGAAATACTTTACTATTATTTCAGTAAACAAATCTCTAATACAACATTTTAGGGTTCTTAATTGGTTGGTGTGTTCCGTTAGCCTTAAAATATTGTATTATGTATGTCTCTAAACATCATGCCTCCCCCTCCTCGGTACAGCGGCACTGCACAGTCAGGCTCTGGCTTCAACAAAACTCAAGCGTGTCCCCCTTCTAAGTGTTACACCACTATATGCTAATAGTATTGTATTAATTCAAAGGCAATTGGTTGTCGAGCGGACTGTACAAAATTACTAAAGTGACTGTGGTGTAGAAATGGTTCTAGATTGCATGCTGTCTAGTCTAGCTAGCATTCTAGTCATTATTCAAGATATGAAAAAGACTAACCTGTGTGGTTGAGATGTCTGGTGTTGTCTGATCGTAGATGAGCTCGCAGCTCGTCGATGACTGTCTACAGATGGAGCTCGCTGAACCCTGTAGGGCAGAGAACTCGGCCTGGCCACTGGCCCTGTCTTGGCTGGAGCATCTACCCTAGATGTACGAGCTTTCACTGGCCCTTCCAGTACTTTTGCCCTGAAAAGCACTTATCTTGAGAAAGAAGTGATACACTAACAGGGGTATGTGTGTTGTACATGTTGAATTTAATTTTAGTTAACAAGTCTGCTATGATGGATTTTCCAGGTCTGTAAATAACATTGAACTTGTATCACTGAAGTCTTAGTAGCATTCTTTACAATCGTCTTGGAGCAGAAACAATCGGCTTCTTAAAAGTAGGAGTTGAACTGACTACTATTCGTAATTTTTTGAACTAAGAAAGGTCTACTCACTTAAAACTGCAGGACTAATTAATTTTTGCAAAGAACTGTTTACTAGATATCGAATACCTGATGTGGTAGTCTCAGACAGTGGCTTACAACTACTAAGTAACACCTTAGGAGTTTCCTAAAGACTGGAAGTTTGAAGTAGTAACCTTGTCACCTTACAATCATCAGTCAAACAGAAAAGCCGAATCATATGTAAAAGTGGAAAAGAAACTAATTAAAAAAGTAAAGAAAACAAAGAAGATAATAGTAGGTATGATATTGTAAATTTATCCCACAACCAATTCCTGAGGATAGAAATATGCCGTGAATTAAAGCGACAGTAATTATACTACTAAAATTATACAGTATAACTACTCAATCCATTCTGTCTTATTGTGCTACAGCTATTACTTGTGGTTTTGGACAGACAACTAGGATGACTTACCGGTTTGAGATGGATGAAGGCCTCCTGAGTTGACTGGCACCAGTGAGGGCTTTCTTGATTGGTGGTCTGACTGTGCCAGGCTGACTCACCAGACCTAGGCCTTGGCTGGTGGGTCGTACAGGCGATGTCACGGGCCGTGGAATACGAGATTTGGGGGCACTCGATACACTGGAGGTACTGTCAAATACATCATTGTTTAGTAAGAAGCCAGTTTATACAATTGAAATACAAATTTATTCATATGATATATTACTGTTTTTATAAAGCACACCTCATCTACATAATAATTGTCTTGAAAAAAAACTTTTGTTTTATTTTTTTTATTTTGTGATTTAAGGTTATGTACCTAATTCTCACTTAAATTGTAAAAAAGTTCAAAGTGAAACACCTGTTCTTATGTATGCATTGTACTTTACAAAGAACTGTGTAAATAAAACAGGTCCATGTCTATGTCTAATGAAACTTGTTACAGGCTTCATAAATGTGTTGAATTGAAATGCTGGTGACAAAACAATTGCCAATGGATAATGAATTCTAGTACATTTGTACTGTACATTTGTAGGACCACTAAGGCCCGGTTCACACGAACGACAAACCTAGCAGACTAGGTAAGCACGACTGGGTAGCGGACCACATGATCAAATGGAGCCGTTCACACCAGCCTAGGACGCCGACTAGCTAGTCGTGTTCGAGCTTGATGTCCCAAAACCTAGTCGGACCCCGCTTCCCAGTCCGTCGCGGCAACTACCCAGTCGCCCAGTCGAACTGCGTAGCAATACATGTAGCCTTATGGGAGCGTTCACAAGAGCGATCGGGTAGTCGAGCTGCAGCTCACATTCTTACCTTTGTTCTCATTGTGCACCAGTGATGGAACCGAGTGGTTTTAATATCGATATTTTCAACTAGTCCGTGGACATGTCGCTCGTGTGAACCGGTGTGATCCTGTGGTCCGCTACCCAGTCGTGCTTACCTAGTCCAAGCCTAGTCTGCTAGGTATGTCGTTCGTGTGAACCAGGCCTAACACTTTTCACTAACGTTTTGACTAGTGATGTGTCGGTTCTATTTTTTAACAGTTCTTGGCCGAAAACGGTTCTCAGTTCCTCTTCCAGTGTTCCAGTAAAATAAGATAAAATTTAAAAAAATTTAAAAATGTGAGTTTATTTAAAAATTACAAATGCTTCTGTTGGTAGCATTACTTCCACTTCTTAAAAGTGAGTTTTACTTTTGCCTAGCCTAAAATATTCATGAGCTCAAAGAAGAAGCTGTGTGATGCAATACCGATATCTTTTTTAGTCTTTATCAGCTGTTTATATAACTGTTACAGACAAAGGAGTAAATAACTACCAAAGTAAAATGAAACCCAACTCGCGATATCTATAATAGTTTACAGCCATTGTATGAATGCAATTTTACAAAAAACTATTCAATAGTTCTGCATCCGGCTACTTGGCTAGCTAGTAGTGTTTTTTCTTTAACACGTTCGCTATTGATCGCCATATATATGCGACGCTGCGGCCATTGCCACCGACAGAGGTATACAGTTTAATATTACACATAAACCGGGTGTCACTTGGTTAACAGTACATACAGACCACGGGCCAAAGATGCAGCTAAGTAAAAAAAAACAGTTTAGCCAACTACCATATGACGTCACTAATTATCATTTCCACAGACCAAGTGACGTACAAGTGCGACAGACATTGCTGTAGACCACTGCAGAGAATTCAGGGATTCAAATAGACCATTACGAAGATATAAGCTTTTTAATAACATTGGAACACCGATGCAAATATGCGATGTCAGTCTATTTTATTAGCTGAATGTAGATATATATTACATGTAGATAACAATAAACAACTAATCTTTTTAAGAACTAAAAAATATGTAAAGTAGTTGATGGAACCGTCAGACTGAAGAACCGACAACTTTTCGACGGTTTTCGGTCCGGTTATTTCCCCAAGAACCGTTGGAACTGAGAACCGTCTTTTGGAACCGACTCATCTCTAGTTTTACCTTTAGCCATCTTCAGGGTAACAACTTCCGCAGTCTTGAGCTGTGTGGAAAACCACAATTCTACAGCCAAAATGGTATTGCTTTTGAACTGTTGTTTCAAATGTTCAATTAAAACTTTGTACTTGTTTTATTATGTTTATGAATTGACTTTCCTCGTTGTTATCTCACATATTCAAGGTTTTTAAAAGGCCCTACCACGATCAATTCTATGTACCTGGACTTCACAGGGGAAGGTGGAGTGTTAAGTGATGAGGATTTGTCAAGACTTTCTTGACTAGTGTTCTCTCTACCAGAGAGCATTTCCCACTTCATCTGCAGTCTACGGAATTTGCCACTGCCTTCGCCTGTACCTGCTTCCTCTCCGTTGCCTACATTTCCTCTGCCTCCTGTCTCCAGGCTAAAACCGGCCCCATAGTGATTAAGTATTGTTAAATCACTAAATACTAATACACATTGACATACATTGAGTGAGACAAACCAGATTAACAAAAGTTATTTGTTTCTAACTGCTTAATGTCTAAGTTGTTGGGATGCCTCAAAATCTGGATTACAGGAGAGGTGATGGCAAGCCTGTCATGAGTTTGAAAACCGTGACCATGTCCGTTACCTGGCAATCGATAACAATAGGAGTTTCCCATGGAAATCTAATAACAGGATGTGATTTAAACTTGACAGGGATTTTCTTTGAAATTTGCTACTACCAGAAGAGTAATTTCCTCCGGCTAGTGGTATCAAATTTGAACTTACTCGTTTGGTCCCGACTGAGACTTATTAGGAATTATTTACCAGCAATCCACATAAGACTGAAATATGATTTCACACCACTTTGTGATTACTCACCTGTCAGTGTATTCTTCCTCAGTGTCGTCTCCAAGTCTGTCGTAAGCTTGTCCAAGCTTGCCACCGATGTTTACACTCCATCGCTTGTGCTGAGTTCCGGCTACATCAGCTCCTGTCACACAGTCCACACAAGAGCGAGGTCGCACATTCTCCGACATCTGGGGAGGTGGAGACTCCATCAATCTGTGGAGAGCCCAGGATCCTTTACTGCTCGCACTGCTTCCGCTGTGGCTTGGTGAGGAAGGGAGTCTCTGTAACATCGTCTACATGTTTTACTGGAATAATATTCGTGGCCATTTTGTTGTGGGGAAGACAAGCGTGTACTAGAGCTTTTGTGTTTTGCAACATACATGTTTGTATTTTGAAAATTGTTTTGTGGATGTTATTGTTTATATCCAAACAAGATTATGTATAATAATTAGTGATGCGCGGATCCAATAAAATGTCAATACCGGATCCGGATTCAGATATGTACTGTCATAAGAACGGGTTTAAAAAAAGTAATATTTACAGAAATCCAATTTAAACCATACTGTTTTAAATTAAATTGGTAATGTTTTAAGGTTGATGTAATAAGATGTAGAATAATATAGCTTACATGGCTAGGAAATGTAACGGAATATGTTGACGTCTATAAATTATATGGCTAAGCAATACCCCTCATTTTAGATGGACTCTAAAATTTTCAAAGTTATGACAATGAAACTTCCTGCTAAGTTTGCACGACCACCAAAATGGTATCTCTGTACATTTTTAGTCTTTTTCATGGGCACAGATAGCCTTGTATATGGACGTAGATATGGAGACACAGATAGTCTTCTACATGGAGTTGATTTTAATTATTTTAACTATTAATTTTATTATAAAATACACCACTATGACGAAACACCTGTTTTTATGTATGAATTGTACTTTATAAAGAACTTTATGTGTTAGTAAAATTTAAAAAAATGTGGATCCATCAAAACCGGATCCAGCCCAAGATCCCATTTTTGTGGATCTGATCAGGCGTTGGTTTTAGCTCAAATCTGGTGGATCCGGTAGTTTGATATATGGATCCTACCATCAATAATAATAATTTATTTATGTTAACATTAGATTATGTAATTACATCTTTGATCCTAATGTTATTTAATTTATTTTGTAAGGATGGCTTACACTTAGCTGAAGCAAGCTCTGATGCAACAGTCGGGTCTCGTAGAGAAGGTCCAGTTTGAAGTTAAGTTGTCCAAGAGGTCTCAGAGAGGCCAGCAGTTTGTCACTGAGTGCTCTGGCATTGGTCTGTCCTCGACAGGCACACAACATGAGGGCATCTGCTGAGTAGTGGCGCCGCAATACACTCTCCCTGGTCCTTAGATAGCTCAGCCACACGTCTAGACCTTGTACACTGTAGCCAACAGTAAATCACTTTAATTTGCATACATTTCTACTTGGATTGATGGTTAAAGGTGCAATAACAATTTGGTTTGAACATTTTGGTAATATTGTTAAATATTTATAGATATGCACAAGCAAACTTAGCATGTAGGTTATAGTTTTGATTTAAGTTACCCAACAAATTAAGTTCACAATTATGTGTGTTGTTAATACTGGATCAATAATAATAATTTAATTTGAAACTGTAGATATTTCTCTTCATCTTAACTCAAAGATTAAGAACAATGATCACAACACATTAGAGATATCTTCGCCTCTGAGAGGGGTTAAAAACTGTCTTGCTAAAACGAAACAAAGCAACTTGTATAGTGATGCAAATTTACAGCCAAGTTGACAGAGACACATAGCAGTATTGATGACTTACTTTAAAAGACCGAATATGAAAGCATTGAATTTGACTACCCCTTCAGTCAGAACATCTTCACTGTTCAACTTGAGAACTAGTTCATTCAGAGCCTTGGTCATGGGACCTGAAACATATTATGGTGTTTATAAGCAAACATCTTTATAAATATTCAGAACTGAGAACTATATCAACACTTATTATGATAGGGTAAATGCTATAAGTGTGGTCGAGTAAATGACTATCAAGGAATTACTCCGCTGTTTACATAAATAAATAAAAGTGTCTTTATTAAAGTGTTTCTCTGGTACACCAGCTTTCAGAACAACTCAGTCACGATATTACAAACTATCATATGTTACTATTGGTCCATATACTCAAGCACTTTAACTTCCAAATAAATTTTTATCGTATGATTTTTCAACTCAAATGTAGAACTCTAAAAATAGTATGAATGTAAAATACTCATATACTTTGTACTTCAAAATTGTATAAAGTAAAATATAGAAGCCCATTCCACTTAGGTTTGTCTTTAAGACATTTCTGTTGTGAGCTTCAAAATAGTATTTTAACTGGTAAATTTGTAATAGATTAAAAAAATATGGTATAGTAATAAAATAAAATTGGGCAACTAACTAAGTCTATCAGTCTCAAATCAACATACTAGTTTGAGACTTAATCATACAAAGGTAGTTTGGGAGTTGTTCACTTTTGCTAGAATATAATATGCGGTTAAATAAAAGCTTGATTATTTGTCATTCAATAATCAGACATTAATCTAATAGTGTTTTGTTCTTACACAGTTTTTTGTTGCATTTGGCAGCTTTGGCAGAGTTCTAGGTGAGGATGGGCATACTGCATAGTAAAGACAAACCACATTAAAATAACACGGCCTGATACTTATGGTAACAGTTCTTTTGACACTATACTTGATCAGCGTTTCTACAAAACTTACAATAAGGGGATTCTTATCAGTGTGGCATTTTCAGTAGCGACTCCCCTTAAGTTCCAGATAAAGTGTTTACTATAAATAAGTTTTGTGTAAAACCTTGTTTGGATCGTTAAATGTACAAACCTTGTTGAGCAGAGGCTTCGACGACTTGCCATACGGAGTTGTTGATGTCTCCAAATGGTGTGTCCAGACTAGACTTGAGACCGTCGCTCAGCAAGGAGTAGAGAGCTGGGCAGAGGCAACTGAGGGCTACACTAGAGATTAGCTCGTTGGGGCCGTTGGACTGGGCTACTAACTTGGCTGCTGCTGTCGTCACAACGTCTACTAGCTCTGCAACCAGATATTCACATCAATACCACAACAGACTTTCATGTTTCTGTTAAAAACTGTGTAAAAAACAGTTAAGATAATTTTGTAAAGGGTATGGTTTGAGGAGTGCAAAAATATATGTGATCTCAGCAGAGACAGTCTGTGTATGTAGCTATCAATGTATGGAAAATGAGTTTGCAGCCAATCAGCAATTGTCAGATTATAGAATTCATAACCGTCATAGCGAAGCTAAGGTTCTTTTCTGCTTTTGTCTGTTTGTTCCAAATAAATAGAATTGTAAAGCAAAACAGCCGATAATGACTAAACGGCAAATGGAATATTGGTATTGCATCATGGCTTCTTCGAGCTCACGAATATTTTAGGCTAGGCAAAAGTAAAACTCAATATCAAGAGGTGGTAGACTGCTACCAACAGAAGCATTTTTTCTAATTTTAAATAAAGTGTGTTTCAAATAAATTTTGCCGTATGTAAATTTCTTCCAAACGTTTTTACAGGAACTAGGAACTGAGAACCGTTTTCAACCATGAACCAAACCGGAACCGAACTGTAAAAAAACGTAACCGACACATCATTAATTTGGTCCAAAATGAGAAGTATGAGTTTTAGAATATCCAGTACCATGAGAATAGGAGATGTGAGAGCAAATGATTTGAGCAGTAAAATTATGCAATTGAGGTACAAATTAGGAATGAATAATTATTTTGAATGGTTTTAAACTCCAATACAAAATGTTGATGAGTAAATAATTTTTTTTAAGCTTTGCTTCAAATGCATCACTATCAAATCACTATTTGATGGATTGTCTCTTTATTGTGCCTAAGATAAAACGAAATAGCCTTGAAACATACCAGATTTGGCTGAATGTCGAAGTCTTTCATGGCTAAAGCTGACTTCCAGATCTTCAGTGATAGTTGTCTCGTTGAGACCAGCGCCTGTCTTGATCTAAGAAAGAAGTTTAAAGATTAGGACATTATAATTTCTTAGTACAAATATAAGATGAAATTGGCTAGGATAGTAAATTTGGACGATGATTTGTAGTCAGAAAAAATGATATGGTCAAGGGAGAAGACTTTGAGATGATCAAATTTTGTGTGAACATTAATAAATAAGTATTCATGACATTTTTTTACTATATTTTATTGGGGTCTCCATCGTAGGTACCTGATGAACCTGATGAATGATACAAAATTTGATCAATAGAATTTCAAAAACCCTTTACATATTTAATTTTTAATTTTTAATTAATATTTTCTCTCATCTAATCATTAAAGGAAATGTTGGTATTGTTCAAACTAGAAGAAAATTAATTGCAGCTACAAGAACATTTTACAAGAACAACTAGAGAGTCGCACAACCACTACACCCTACGCTCTCCTGAGGTGTACTGGCTTTCCCGCGGGTCTCTTTTCCCGCTCTGGTGTGAAAACACCCATTTCCGCTGCGATATTATCACCCAAGTACTGCAGATAAAATTCTAGAAATTGTATCGCGTCGCTTCAGCAATAAAGTATTGCTCCCGTGTGAGGCTTTATAATGAAGCTTATAATATTACCTGATAAGTTGGTTTATGGGCGACGGAGACTTGAGGTGAGTTAGGTGGAGTCATAGACGGGTCTTCCCCACTATCAGCAAAACTCACACTCTTTCGACCCTGGCTCAGAAATCGGCTCACCTTTAAAGAGAAAAATGTATGCAACTTGGAGTTTACATGAAATATTAATATATTACATTTTTAAAATGTTCTCTCCCAGACCTCACACTCCTCTGTATGTATGGTCGAGCACCATGTGGAAGTGAGTGTGCTAACACGTTCTCTCCTAGCCATCACACTACTCTGTATGCATCAGGTTGTCTATTACATTCTGGATGAAAAAATCATGGACTATTACCATATATTTAATGACACTTAATTGTTACCTTTACCGGTGTTGTTATCAAATACATTTTCCTGATTTGTCTAACTGTATTCATAATTTTTCACTGTAGTTGTATCAGAAGGATAAGTAAGAACAATTCCCGGTTTTCCCAGATATGCCATTTGGTTGATACCCTGAATATGGTCTAGCACCACGTGGGAGTGTGTTAAAAACTTTCTCCCAGCAGTCACGCTTCTCTAAGCACATGGGCTAGCTGGTGATGGTATGGTCTAGCTTAAAAACTGAACAATTAATTATGTATGTTATAAGTCATATTAATCTTCAAAATATTCTTCTAGGTCATAAAACTGGGAACTACTACTATTGTGTTGCCAAGTTGTTAGCCTAATTATTTTATGTGCACTTAAATGTTTCACAGTGTTGCACATTAATTGAAAATAGAATTGCATCCCACACAATATTGTCTCAAAGGCTAATCAAAATAAATTTTTGTTGGTATTTTTAGGCAGTAAGCTATCAAAATAATACGATTTCCTGCCTCTTAATAATGTCTTCAAAAATATTTGAGCTTTGTACAAAAGCTCACCATCACCAAAAAACATTCAACATTTTTTGGAATCCATTAGTTTATGAATGATTGTTGGTTAAAATAAACTTTAGGAGCTACCTGCTGGCGAAGAACATCCATATCTCGGGGGTCCCACTGGTCCCCGCTCATCTCCAGGAGTTGTTGTAGGCGAAGTGCATGAGTGGTGGGGGGAGTCGGGGGTCGCCACATCTCTCCGCCAAGCCCCTCATCCGACCCTGACAACTGACTACCACTCGATTGCTAGAAAAAGATAAATTATCATAAAAAAGCTACAACAATCCTTTTTTGCAGGTCTATTACTTTCAGTCTTTCTTAAAGCGGATCAAATATATTTCATTTTAAGCTTTAGTATATTAAATTATACTAAAGTTATTTATATTATATTTATTTTTATTACATTTATTTATTTTTCATTGATAGTTTTTTAAATTAAACAATCACCTAACTTCTAATTTGAAAGTAAGCGACAACTAGGAAAATAAACTTTACCTTAGCCTTTGCTTTTTTGTCCACATCGGCCAATTCAGGATCATCTACATTGGCTGTCTCCATATCAAACATGCTATGTCTGTAAAATACAATAAATGTTAGTAGTGTTGTTCTTGCAATAACAGTAACAGTTCTGCTTGTAGGGGTTAGTCCTAGGTTTTTAGTGAAATAGTTAATATTAAACAAGGTGACTGAGTTTAATGCACAAAGTAGATTAATATTTTTTAAATCCAAGTTAATCTCTACTCACATGACCTACAGTTAAGGGGTTTCTACCTGGTCAATTCAAGATGGCGGCTAAACATGCTAATGTTCCTGAACATGCCTCTATGGTACAAGCTCTCAACATTCTAAAACTAACTTGTTTCCAATGAGTGTATGCTTGTTTTGCTTTTAACATATCAGAGCTTGCAGTGGGTGGAGCAAAAATAGTGTTTAAATATTATTTAGAAGTTAAAATTGCATGTAAAAAAGACTAATTTTCACATTTTAAAAATGATTTTGTAAATACCCAAAAGAATCAATTATGAAGTTTCAGTTCAGCCGATGCATAGTTTGGATCTTTGTAAATATTTTACAGTTTATTTCAACTCGATTAACACTTTAATAATATCAGGAGGTTCTTTTTTGTAGGACTATGTTTACATGTAAACAGCCAGCGAGTGGAACCCTCTTAATAATTGTTTGTTTTAGTTTAGACTAAAGGAGAATAATTTCAAATTTCACAATAAAAGCAATAATAACTTTGAATCTATTTAAAATATACAGGGTGTTCAAAAAGGGGGGACATACTTTATGTAGCGATTCCTTGGGTCAAAATAAAGAGAAAATCAAAGATAACATTTTTTCCAAAATTGCTTTGTTAACCAGATATCCTCCACCATTTTGTATTTTTTACCTAAACATTTTTATATTTGAATTTTTTAATTGATCTTTATGCAACTCGGTACATATGTTAAGATAGAAGGGGCCCATCTTAGAAAAAAAGTTATCTTGATTCAACAAAAAATTTCAAAATGGCGGCCATTTTAATTTTTTAAACTTAAGTTACTAAAATATGGCTGATTATATGAAAACATTTCAAGCTCCCCTTTTTTTAACCTTTTTAATTCCCTATCAAACGATACCAAATTCAAACAGATTAAATAACAAATAGCTAAAATATAATTATTTTAGTAGTTAAAGGAGGCAAACCTGATTAGCTTAGCCTTATTCTACCCCATTTTACCAACAGCAAAGTATCAGTGGTATCGAGAATTGAGACATCCCTAACCATATATGAAATATTCAGTATTGTTACTTGTGTATGCGCATTATTTTTTCTATAGAACAGTGCCACAAAGACTGCAAATTGATTTTATTTCTCATTGTTTCTATCTGCAAGAATGTTTACTCAAGAAGAAAACCAACCTCTTTAGGTGGAAAAAATCTGTCCCAAAAATCGGGAAGGATATAAAAATCTCGTCCTGTCAATGCCTAATTAAAATATAAATTCAATGAAAAAGTAAAGTAATTGGATTAAAACGTCCGTTATTTAGCAAAAATATATAAATAGCAACACTACAAGCTACAATTAATATGAACAACAAAAAGTGGTTATTTTAAGTCTAGCACAGAGACCAAGCAAATATGCCTAGCATTGGTAAAGGTTTGGTTAACTTATTCACATACAATTACATCTAACACTAAAGATTTAAAATGTGTTAAACCACTGTATGTTCAGGATTATGGTATAAAACAGTTTACTGAATAAGGATGTAGAAACCTTTTAATATTTACAATATTAGTAAAATCAATAATTATAATCCATGCTTAAAATTGTTAAAATGTGACTGGTATTAGTTAGTTATGAGAATAGAGAGGAGTTTAGTTCATCACAAAAACAAACGAAACAAGAAAACTATTAATAAAACACAATGGCATTGACCTATACTGATTATTGAGAAAGAGTTAAAAAGAAACTACAAAGCAGTAGCAAAAGGCAAAAGGGAGGGGATGTTAAATAAGACACTTGAAATGATGAAACCAAGCACCTAGATCAACCAAATGTATCTCTGTAAAGGGATGAGTTTAAAAATATCCTCCACAGAGATTGGTGTGTTTAAACACTCAAATGATTTAAGTTACTTCCTAGTATGGTTTACAATAGCAACAAATTAAGCAATTTAATATTTCTAAAGTAATTTTGTTTATAAAAACGGACTAAACTTTTATTTCCGTTTCTACAGTCCAGTATAGACACTGAAACATATTTGACCAAGACAAGAAATATTAACTTTGAAAGAGTAGTGTAAAAGATAACCTAACTTGTTACATGTTATTACTATTCTAAATTACATACCTTTTCTTGTTGGCTTGATTTTTGTGAAGTTTAGTATTCTCAAGTGAGTTTCGCAGAATACCACGAGGTAAAGGAGGTCTTGGGGGTGCAGGGACATTCTTCTCCTCTGGCAATGAAATTGATCGTTTTGGTAGAGGAGGTCCTGCAATGAATTAAATGTTCTTAACTATGTCCCATTTAAGATTACCTCAACTAGTTTAGAAAATTACGTGTTCAATTATCAATTGTGAGGACAGATTTGAAAAGAATAATAGTCAGTGTCTTGAGTTCAAGTGTTTCATCCACTGATTTGCACTTAAAACCCAAAACCCAAGTGGAGGGGTAAATGCAAGGTAGAAAGAGGTAAAAACCCTTCCAGTGCAGTAGGTTATGTCTTGTATCAGATTCAACTTATTCATAAGAACATTATCTTTAATTGAACCATTGCTTTATTTTATTAATGTATTATGAAGTTATCTTTATTATCACTAGGTATTATCTATTTTTTATAGCGATGGACGAGACTGGATTTTAAGTTCGAGACGAGATCGAGGCGAGATTATAGATCGCATTACTATCAGGAATCATTTGTTTGCGTAGTTTCACAATGATTAATAAATAACAATAAAGCACTATTAAAACAACAATTAAAGTATAAAAACTAATTATTTATTACAAAACAAAGGTTGACACAAAAAGAGTGTGCAAAATAACAAAAGCTTTCAGGAACTTAAATAGTTATGAAAGTCTTTAATAAGGAAAAATAGGAACAAAATAAGACATCTTCAATGTAAAACTGTAACATGCACACCACAACTAAACGTATCACAACAAAAAAGAGTCTATAAGAGACTAAGAAAATTGTAGTAGCTTGTACGGTGTTACTTCTGATCTCAGTAATAGTGATATCATAAACAGTAAACCTATTATATCCGGTATAGATAGGACCAGGGTCAAAACGAATAAAAAATTAACAGATAAACCGATATTACCGACTTTTTAGATGTACACAGTTAAAAAACACCTTGAGAAAGTCTCTGCAATACCAGCAATACAAGAGCGTGTTGATGTGTTTCCTTTAGAAAGACGTTCAATTTTTTTTTAATAATCTCGTCTTGCAAAACTCTTGGATCAAAGTCAATCTCTCCTAAACTAAAAAGATTTTTTTTATCTCTTAAATTTTTCAAAAATTCGAGACTTGTCCATTTCTAATTTTTTATAAACTTAACAAAAATAGAGAAGATTTGTCCTATAAAAAACCTCCAAGTGTAGTTTATATGATGGAAAAAACCATTTACAGTGACAGATTAAACAGGAGTATTAATGGAGGTGCAAAAACAGGTGATATTGAAAATGCACATTTGACATAACACAAATCCTACTTTAACTTAACAGACAACAAACATGTTTTTTACCAAGAGTTTGGTAACATTCATACAAAAAATATCCTACAATAATCAAATTATTAGTAACATGCCATTGAAGTTAAATAATTCTTATCGAACCTGAATGGCCAGAATCAGAAGTGGCACTGTCATATCTGTAGACAAAGAGGGGGTTGTTGGCGGAGTGAGGGCCTGGACTAGGGTTGGCACTGGAGTCACTCAGCAGAGTTGATGAACCTCGGTAACCAGACGAAGGCTGCGTGCCTACGCTTGATGATGACGAGTTATTGCGACCTGTCAAAATGAGTGTTCCTTATATAGACGAATGTGAACGTGTTGGCCAGCCCGTAGTGCAAGACTTCTGAATTGATCAGACTACTCACTAAAAAACTCCTCTACTATGTTGGAGTCCCCAAAATCCCATACTATTTGTGGGACCCGAAGATGATTAATGATTGTTGAATCGCCTGTGGCAGTGCAGAGCCTGACTTCTGCACAAATGCGACACTTTCTGTCTAGGCCCATGATAATGCACCAAAGAGTCCTATTGGCAGTGGCACAAATCAGCTCCTCTGTACCCAGGGTGCCCTAGTAAATGCTGGTCAAAAATGGGAGGGATAAGGAGTTGGTGTTGGGGATAAAGAGGACGAAGGAAGGAAGGGGAGAAGGATGGAGAATGAAAGGAAAGACAAAAGATTTTGGGGACCAAGCAAAAAATAGGAAACTTGGCCTGGGAGAAAATTGGGAGTACAAAGAGATGGATCTCCCATCACCTATTAGTTGCCAAGGAAGGCTGCGGTCCTATATTTACTTGGAAAGCCACACAGGGCAAACATAAGAAGGTAAGATTAGGGAAATGCTTAATCGTAACGTCATTTAATCGAAGATATGGAACAAACTCAAACATTAAACTAGAGGGTAGAATATATCCCATCCTCATGTCAAAGTTGCAGATGTAGTTAAATTGAGCTACCGAGAGTGTCTGGGGTGTGTGTGATCAATTACTGATCTTTGTTGTATATACAGACTTTTACTCTAAGCTAAACTGAAAAGACAACTTACTGTTAACTACAGCCTATTTTATGTTAACACTAGCTGTAACCCGCGGGCTTTGCCCCGTTTAACTTCTTAATTTTCAAGATTATCTCGTTCGCATGGCTCAATCAGGTCCTGGTTGAAGTTTGTTCGCTACGCTCACTCACCTTTAGGTTGGAGCTCGTTTGCTACGCTCACTCACCTTTAGGTTGGAGCTCGTTCGCTGCGCTCACTTGCCTTCAGGTTGAAGTTCGTTCGCTACGCTCACTCACCTTTTGGTTGCAAATTAGCTGTTGTCATAAATGTAAAAGAAATAATAGTGCTGAACCCTGTTGGTAATCCTTGTAACTTTAATGCTATTGAACATCATAGAACAGGACCAACTTGTTTAATTGAAACAGCTGATAAGATTCAATAATTCCATTTCTCATAAGGTTAACATGGGAAACTCCAGAGCCACTGGGGCGGAGCCCGAAAGTATTTTTGAAATAAGAATATGCCTATATGTTAATCGGGAATGTGAGCTATCATCATGCCAAATTTCAGCCCAATCCGACCAGTATTTTTCGCGTTCACTTGTCACAAACATACATCCATACATCCATACATCCATACATCTAAACTTTCTCATTTATAATATTAGTAAGATAAACGATAAAGTATTTAAAGTAAAAGAGAATAGAATTTTTAAAGTAGCACAATCTGTGAGAGGCTCGGGATGTCTACGCCAGTCTCCTAAAGTTAATGATTGATGGTTGGAATGTACTCACTATCTGGGATGAAGGGGGTGAACTGAGTGGGCTTGGAGAGAGGGGGAGAGACACAGAAGAGAGGCTTGGTGGTGGTGCACAGGTCCTTGTACTCCCTCAGCTCAGGGATATCACTGAGCAGAGCACAATACTCAGGAGGCAGCAATACGGCTAGGCTCTCCCAATCTCTGACATGACTGAATCCTGAAACACATCATACTAGATGTAATCATCTTGTCTATACAATGGCTCAACTGGTCACTTATTACTATGTAGGCTAAGTACGGTTACCACTTTGTATCATAGCTAACTCCATACAACATTCGCTCTGCAGTACCCAAAACGCACTAGCCGTCCCAAAAACATTAGTACCCGTCATAATAACAAAGTCAAAATCTGAATCAGTAGGTCAAATACCAACACTAATAATTACAGATTCGATTTCAATATACAGTAAAACCTCACTAACCCGACACCCCGTACCTAACTCAACAGTCTGTGTAACTCGACAGTTAAAACAGTTGACAAAGCGCATGTCTAGATGGCTTTGTCTTACTAATGGATTCGACATTTGAAGGACGGCTGAAGATTTTTTATAAGATTATTGTTTACTCAATAAGTAAAAATACTCATACAAGTAAGGGTGTCCCGGAACTCTCTACCAATATTGATCCTGGGTAAGAAACGTACCTAAAAATCATATTTAAATTGTCCGGAAGTCCTTAGTTACTCACACAGCCGCCATTTTGTTTTTTCCAGTTATTATTTTTTTTCTAAAGAATGGTTAAACATACAAAATTGAAACTTTGCACAAACATTTATGACAACTAGACAAAGCTACAAAAAAAATATGACGATTTTTCAAATTCATAAAACAAAATGGCAGCCATTTAAAATTTTCTTTCTTAAATAGCTCAAAAACCATTGATTTTACAAAAATTTTAAATGACCGCCATTTTGTTTAATGAACTTGAATAATCGTGATAATTTTTTGGTAGCTTTGTCTAGTTGTCATAAATGTTTGTGCAAAGTTTCCATTTCGCATGTTAAACCGTTCTTTAGGAAAAAATTAATAATTGAAAAAAACAAAATGGCGGCTGTGTAAGTAACTAAGGACTTCCGGACAGTTTAAATATGATATTTAGTTATGTTTCTTACCCAGGAGCAATGCCCTAAAATATTGGTAGAGAGTTCCGGGACACCCTGTATACAAATTAGTCTGTTATGTATTCATTTATTCAAACACATTTAAAATTTAAATGTTCTGGATTACTTGAAGACAACCTCTGGGTCCACAAATTGTCAAGTTAGTGAGGTTTTATTGTAAAAGTGAAATGTATTTAGTTCCTTCATGAGGTTTACGAGGACAGTTGACGCAACCTGCATGGCAATATAAGCACAATGCCTCCATTAATGTCAATAGCGTGACTATCTCCAATCAATTCCTAACCAATGTTATAAGAACAAATCTCTATAGCAAATTGACTGCCTGGAATCAATAACGATTCTTGCTGAAGTTAGTAATATTGTCTCAACCAAAAGATTCAGGCAATAGCTTCCCCAATATTGCACATCAGTGAAACAAGATAATTATAAAAAAATAAAACAGGGAATTTTTTTTTTGTTAGAGCTGTGAGAGCCATAAAAATATAAGACATAAAATCTATTAGGATTGCTGTACTCCAACCCAAGCTTAAAGTGTCCATTCCAACAGTCCATTCCAGTAGCTAACATCATGACAAAGATTATCTCTGAAATTGTACATACTTCCTTCATTTAAAAAGTAGGCCTACCTTTCTTTCTGAGATGGTCAATATCGGCACAAGAATGAGGCCGAGGCCTTTTATGCTCAACATGAGGAGGGTTTGTTGGGGCCACAGTCGGGGACTGCAGAGGTGTCCAGCCGGGAGAGAACTTGACAGGAGTTAAGAATATCTGGTCCAGATCCAGCCTCTCATCCCTCAGGAAGCCCAAGTCTGGCAAGGTGTAATTGGGGTACATGACATACACTGCTTGCTTGCCTTTCTCACCAGACTGCAAACATAAAGCATGTTCAATATACATTATGAACAGTTAAGTGATGGAATTAGAGTGGGAAAGCTAACACATTTGGTAATCTGTTCCTTTGCTACACTAAAATCGGCCAATTTTTGTACAGTATTGGATTTTATTTTGTCTTTCACAGGAGTGTTTTTAGCGAATTTCCCATATAGGGAATAAGCTATTACCGTAGGTCTCATGGTAAGACCTAGACCCGGGACCGATTTACTTTTTCGTTTTGAGGTCCCCAGAGGCCAAAAACACCATCCGTTCAAATTCATATATATATATATATATATATTTATATATATATATATTTATATATGTGTCCGTTAGCGCGATAACTCGAGCAAAATTGATCCGATTTTGATGAAATTTGGTACAAACGTGTAAACCTACATTTATTCGAACGAGTTCGCGAACCAGCATAATCGGACCATGGGATCAGGGGTTTATGGGGGGTTTTATGGGGTAAAAATGGGTTTTTCTCATTTTTGACCCTAAAAACTTTAAATTTCTAAATTTCTCTCTAGACCATTTTGAAGAGCTTAAAAAACAAATAATTTAGTATATTGAAGTGTTTTTGAATGTTCATTGACTACGGAGAAAATTAAGAAAATTGTAAATTTAAAATTCCCATGTTATTCTTATGGAGAATAAATAAACTGTTCTAGTTTGCTTGTTTATGGATATATTTTAATCAAATTTGGCAATTTGGTTTATTTCATACTAAGCTATCAATATTTCAATTGAAAAAACACACCTCAACATCTTCCCCGTAGCAGCAAACCTAACTACTCACTAAAATTAATGTTATAGGAAATAAATCTGAAAATTTTTTAGGGAATATTTTAGTAGAAATCAAGCCGGGTAAATGGAAATTCGCTTAGTATGCAGGTTTGCTGCGACGGGGTTTTTTTTTTTTTTTTTTTTTTATTATTGCTAGATTAGTCTGTACATGTACATTGTGCTCTACTTGATGATGTGTAAGTTAAACTTGAGAGTGTAATGACTGTTTCAACTACAGCTATTCTCATTAAATTAAGAATATAGGTTATATACTTATATAGGTTATATACTTAACCTTATTCAGGTCTCTGTTATGAGGCTGTACACTAGGTGTAATAAACCAAATAAAATTGTGTTTTTCTGTTCAATAAACATTGCTTTTCCGTGAAACAATACCTAAAATGATTGATCTATACCCCAAGTAGAAAAAGAAAAATATACAAAATAAGGTATAATAAGTTGACTAATTTTGGTAATCCAACATTTTCGGGCACCTTCCTGATATTGTAAGTTTATGATTATCGAGAACCAACTGTAAAAAAAGAATGTCTACAACACCTGTTTTACAAAGATCGGGGTTTTGGGGTATTTTTGGGGGTTTTACCAAGCAGTTTTTAGGTATGTGTCTAGTATAAGTAAATTATTCAACACTGATTATTTTGAATCCTGTTTTCAATATATTATAGCTGATGTTATGTTTATATTCTGAGATTGAGAAATGAAATGAATAAAAACCAATACTTAATTTTCAGTTTCATACGATTATTATTGAGTTGTAAGTTCATTACGTACTTAACAATGGCGACTCAGAGGTGAAAATAAAGATTGTATTACTTACAAGCTTGAGTTCGCAATTACTCATTGTCAAGTATGCAATTAAATAATTACAACTCATTAATGATTATATGAAACTGAAAATTAAGTATTATTTTTATTAATTTCTCAATCTCAGAATGTAAACATAACATCAGCTGTAATATATTAAAATATGATTCAAAATAATGAACAAGTCTAGACTTATAGATACAACACTTGTGTAACAGTGCGAAATAATGAAATGTGAACATATTACAAAGACACACTGTTGTCAGCAGATAAAGGCTTTTGACTCATGGTACACATTACAGTTCAAATTAAATGAAATTAGTTGACATAAAACTTCCAGCTAGGTACCTCTAATCTCAGTAATAAGCTGAAATCTTTAACGTAAAATCCTAACACAAATCACAATAAAATCATCACTTGGTTCAATCAATTTAATTACTCCTTGTTAAAAAATAACATTTGCAATAAGTAATAAAGATTAGGGATGCATTTTAGCAAATTTCCCTATAGGGAAGTAGCTATTACCGTAGGTGGCACGGTAAGACCTAGACCCGGGACCGATTTACTTTTTCATTTTGATGTCCCCAGAGGCCAAAAACACCATTCGTTCAAATTTTTATATATGTATATATATATAGACTTATATATATATATATATATACGTCCGTGAACGCGATAACTTGAGTAATTTTTGTCCGATTTTGATTAAATTTGGTTTAAAGGTGTAAAGCGGGATAAACTTGAATGAATTCGCGAACCAGCACGATCGGACCATGGGAACGGGGCTTTACGGGGGGTTTTATGGGGTAAAAATAGGTTTTTCCCATTTTTGACCCAAAAAACATAAAATTTAGCAATTTCTTTCCAAACCATTTTGTAGAGCTTAAAAAAACAAATAATTTAGTATATAAAAGTATTTTTGTTCGATTATTAGTAACGGAGAAAATTTAAAAAATTGTAAATTTAAAATTCCCATGTTATTCTTATGGAGAATATAGTCAAATGTTGTAGTTTGCTTGTTTATGGATATATTTTGATCAAACTTGGCAAATTTATTTATTTTCTACTAAGCTATCAATATTTTACTCAAAAACACACTTTATTAGTTTCCTTGTAGCAGCAAACCTAGGTACTCATTAAACCTAATGTTATTAAAATATATTTAACTGAAAATCAATTCAGACAAATGGAAATTCGCTTAGTCGGCAGGTTTGCTGCGGCGGGGGTATTTATAAATTTATGTGGGTTTAAGGAGACTTTAAAAATCCAACTGAAGTATCATGTGTACCTTGGAAGGCTGTTTGTTGTGGGCGGCTAAAGTGGCTGACGTCTGCATGCTAGCATCCACACAATGGAGTGGACACTGAGTGGCAGAATTGCGTACATGAGCTGATATCTTGGTAGCCTCCGTAGGATCACTGCTGGTGCTGCACTCGGAGTGGGTCTGTGTGCCACGGCGCAACTGGGACACACTTACTGGTGATCTGCAACCAAACACACAACGTTGAGTACTGAATGTCTGCAGACCGTTGTTGTCCGTTCAGTATTGGTAGAAAGGAATTCCCATGGCTAGTCTTAGAATGGAAATTAACATAGTTAAATTGTGCTGCTAACATACACTGATGTCAATTACTGAGGTTTGTCCAACTGAAAGGACAAATAATTGTTAACTCTAGCATATTTTATGTGATATTAACTATCATAATAGTAGCCATATCAAAACCCAAGGGAGATAATGGTCTTTGATGCTCCGTGAGTGGTTTATTTAGATAGCCTATGCTCAGTTTTGGAAAGAAATGGCTACAGCTGGTCCTAACTAACATTTTGCTGGTATAGGCTAGTACAGTGCAATTGACAAAAAACAACCAAACTTCAACATCAAGTACAAAACTTTTGACTCCGAATGGTTCAATACAGTCCCCATAATCCCCAAGTGTTACAGTGAAAAGTTACACCATTTGTGCGTCTGGCTTGGGGAGAAGGGAGAGTTCAAATTTAAAAATTGGTAGTTATTTTAGTTTTTATGAAATATATTTAAAACTATGCCAATCAGCAAACAAAAAAAGAATGGCCCTCTTCACAATCTTGCTAAAGTGAACCGTTGCGGGGTTAAAAAAGGTTATAAGTGGACATTTTTAAAAGATTTGTATAGCCTTAAAAATATATGCCATTTATTACTATGGAAACTATTTTATGTATTCAGGGTAACGTTTTTGTATTTTATTAAGGCAAATTGAGATTTTATTGGTTTGTATAAATGTTGGTGATGAGCCCTTGAAAGAATGACAACCTCGCTGGACCCCTGTTGCCCCTTCTCACAGGGTGCTACTTTTTCATGAAAATAAGCTTCCAAAGGCCTAAAAATTTTTTTTTCCTCAATAATCCTCAAGACAATTAGGAGAGGATTCAGTCCTATGCAGTAGAAAGTTTGGTTTGTTTTGATTTGGTCCAATGGTCTATGTTTGTGATTACAAAATAGCTTAAAATGGTAAAGCAAAGAATATTGAAGCGGAAAGGTGCCTTAACCCCCTTAAAATGGTCCAAATCCTCTAATAGCCTCATCGTTGGTGAACACCCTGAAGTGAAATTTTGTTTATACAAATCAAGGAAATACAACAGAGCTTTTCAGATGACTTTGGTTGGGAAAAAACAAATTGTTGAAAGAGGTGTCTTGACTATTTTCTAAGTGCTTGGACAAGTAATCCATTCAATTGGTTGTTTTATTTTCATAATGTAAAGATAATCCCTAAAATAAACAGCCATATTTCACAGGTTTGTTAAAATTTAAAATTTGTCCAGGCCAAGGACAAGCAAAACAGCTAGTATTTCAGAAAAAACTACAAGTTTTCCAACTTTGAGCCCCAAAACTCGACTCTCAAAATGGTGTATTATGGGGACTGTAGTAGTAAACAATTTTGAGTCAAAATTTGGCTTTAACTTTAGGTTTTGAGGTCTTAGTCTTATTGTACTGTGTAGTTATTGCACTGTGTAGTAGTAGTAGGAGTTTAAATCTAAATGGCTGTAAAATTAAAATTACTCATAATCTAAAAGTTTGATTTTTAAAATGTAAATATATTGATGAATATAAATTTTAATTGTCTGGGCAGCCAAACGGCCGTAGAGCTTGCCTTAAAACCTGAAGGTTGCGGTTTCGATTCCAAGGGGGTAAATTCTGGACCCAGATGACGTCTACTCCAGTGGCATTTTAATTGAAGTCAATGTTAGATTAAACACATCTTAAGGGAAAGCGGTCCAAACCCATTACCCATAACGTCCCGCACCAAAGTCCAAGACGCTAACAACTAGGCTAGCAACACATTCGATTGATGATGCTATCTAACGATAGGTTAACATAAAATAGTGACAAGACCAGGATTTGGATTTGAAACCAAAACTATGCTCATGATTATTGTGCATGTCACATACCTGATGTAGTCCCTGTCCAGACTATTGTTGTTGTTTCCACTGCCTTGATGTCTAGATGTGTTGAGACTAGCGTCACAACTACATACTGACACGGAGCCATCACTGAGTCTCTCTACACTCTCAGACTCAGGGACCTCGTCTATCAGACTGTCTGCAAAGCTCACCCACTCCACTTGATTCTGATTGCGATCTGACGTCACTAAGTTGGCATTAACCCTGGAATCAAATAATACATAAGCTGAAATATCTCATTTAAATAGTTTGTTTTTTTTTTGTCATGATGCAGCAAAAACGCCAAGAGTCATGTTATGTGTAACGTTGTTTACAAGCGTTACGGGGCTACATTAGCTCTTTTTCTCCCTAAGGCAAAAATTGTAGGGATAATTTAAGTGGAAAGGATAACAGTAGATACAGAAAACAACAAATTTTCCATTTGAACATATTTGTATAGGTGAAGGTCATCACTATCATAAATGGAACTAATACTGTTATTAGCATAAAATATAAAATGGAAATTATATATCTACTGTACCTGTTATCACAAAGTTGTTCATGAGTAGTCTGTGTAGTTGCATAGTCCGAGTGTGCCATAGCACATCCTCGTTGTTTGATGAACAATCGGACTAGACTCAGTCTTGAATGTTGTTTCTCTGATGATAAACTGCTGTCTGAGCCAGACACTGATGACGAGTGTTGAACATCATACAGCTTCACACAACCTGCCGAAAAATGATTTACTAGTCATGTAAATTGAACTAATCATCCTAATTCAAAGCAACTGGTTTAAAGTTGAATGTAGAAAAAACACACCTTGTTTATTTCAAAACCGACCAAAAATAAAAATAATTATGAATTTCGGGAAATGTTTAGGTTAAAATGGGTTATTATAAAAAAACTCCTTCTACAAAAATAAAATACAGTAGGCCTACCTTAAACTTGTATACTGTAGACTTACTACATTACGTTACAACTAGAGGTGTGCAGATATCCGAAAAATCGGGCCGGATTCGGTTCGGTTCGGATATCCGTATCCGAACCGAGCGCCCAAATTCAATATCCGACACTATCCGTTATATATCCGACTTTTTCGGATAGACAATATATTTTGACGTTTTGGACAGGAAACTAAATCTCCATAACCATCATTAGTTTCCCAGGACAAAATTACAGCAATACGTTTCCAACGACCTAACAGCAAACGGCAAAGAAGCCGTATGATGCAATACCGATAACTAGTTTAGATTCATCTGGAACGAACAGACATAAAGCAGAAATGAACTACCATGGTCAAATGAAAGTCAACTCGTGCTTGTCTCGCTCCTGATACTAGGGGCGCTGCGTAATAGTTTTTTTTTACAGTACTGTTTCAAAGTAGAAAAATCTAGCCTACTACTGTGATGTTACGTAAACAATAGATTTAATGTTTCCCGAAAAAAAGTCAGAATAGAAACAATAGAAAGGCAACACAATAGAAGGGTGGGAGGGGTTGGGCAATGACCTCGAAAGGAGCGCGGATAGTGAGTCAAGTAGGACCGGAGGGGGAAGGGGTGGGTCAGACCTTGAAGCTATATATAGACTTGCACTACTTCCCTAAACCTAAAGGACTGGCCGGCGAGTGGTATTCCAATCACAGGACAAGATACATTGTTTTTTGGGTATTCATTGCCTTGGATTGTCTTATTGTGTAGAAACTTTGAATAATAAAAAATAAAGTTAGAACTAACCACGATTATTTAGCATTGATTGTGTACATATTAAATGATTAAACAATAGGTACCATGGATATATACAAACTTTTGTCGTGATTTTAATTTCAACATCAAAATACAATATTGCACAATCGTGATATTTTAGGTCATTGACCTTTATTATGCATCCGGTATTGCTGTTTCAGAAGAGAAGCACGTTGATAAATTATAAATTGATATTTCCGTAGTTAAAAAGAATTATTTTATAAACCTATAAAACAAAATCATAAAATCTTACATAAAGATAACAATAACAGAAATTTTAAAAAGGGTATAAAGATAACAACGTCATTATTCTTTCTCTTTGTTCTTCTATTTCTTGGGTTTCCCTTCATCACGCATTCAACAAGTTGCCATGGTTACTAATCACCCATGTCGTTATCATCTTTTGTGGCATAGCGCACAGCAGGGGGTAAAACTTGACAAAAAGCAGTTAATTTTTACCTATTATTTAATTACCAATGAATGTACTTTATTGGTATTTAGTACTGTATTAATAATCGGTCAAAATGGCCGATTTTTGTCAAATTTTACACCAAATTTATTGAATTTTCAAGGTGAATGAATATTAATAAAACAATTATTACCAAATATTTTTATTCATTTAAAAGATTGATTTGTGGTATTGGGTTCCCCACTGAGTGCAGCCGAGCGGCACTAATGAGAGTCGAACCTTCTTGGGGGTGAACAATAGATGGCTTATCAGACCCGACCCTCCCCAGTGGTCTGGAGAAAGCTTGTAAACAAACTATTGCCCAAGGGTGACTTGACATTGGGCTGCTTCAACTATAATTTTGTCAAATGAACTGCGATGTTTCAAAATCAAAAACAATAATATTGGGACCATACTGCATAATAATAATGGACTGCAATTGTTGAACATACAATCCATTTTTAACAAACTAAGATTATACGATTCAAATACAATTATAAAAATTCTCTTGGTATTTTATTTGGGGTAATGAAGTTATGTAGGCTAGTGTAATTCTCGGTTCATCAAGGTTCTACTGAATTATGTTTGGCAGTGAATAAGTGTAGAATGAAATTTATAAATTCAGGGATACACACCTTTTACCGAGTTATAGAGCCTAATTGCCCAACATCAAATCGTGAGCTAGAGCCCAGCTTAGTGCATTAGTGATGTTTTCTAAACTTGGCAAACCCGCAAAATGCCACTTAAGGCCAATAATCCGTTCAAGGAAATACAATGTGAAAATAAACTTGAGATCAAACTCCTTGTCTTGTGAGAACCAGGAAACAACATAAAACATAACCTCAAGTAAACAAGCCCAAACGTTTGACATCAGTCCTGCTGAGCTAAGGTGTTGTGTGAAGATTTCGGCTGCTAGTGTACTTAATTCAAGCAACCAACTTTTGAAAATAAATGTTGTGTTGTGAATTGTGACTTTCAAGAGAGAGAAAACTGTGGACTTGGCTAGTTTGAAATTCTATAATTCAAAATCGTCATTTAAGTTTATTTACACAGCTTTACATTGTTTTATAGGTTAAAAATACATATGCAGCTTATTATTAACCGCGCCGAACTATCCGAATCCGAACCTCCCAATATCCGAACCGAGCCTCAACTATCCGATCCGAATCCGATCCGAAATGAAATTTCACTATCCGCAAACCTCTAGTTACAATCAAAGACCATGTTAACCAAAACCATGATAAAGATTTAAAACTAATGGAAAATTAGCTAGGCAACGGGAATTGTCCATTTGACGTGGTCAGTTGACCAGAGTTTGCCGAGGGAATTTAAATTTTCGGAGCAGTCGATAAGACAAATTTCACAACATGATAAGGGGTAACGTTAAAAAACTACCGTAGATTGATTTAGCAGTAAAATTTTGTATAAACAGTGGTATATTTTAGGATTTTAGGTATCGTAAATAAATTACGTGAAACTACTTTTGTCAATCTCTTTTGACTGAAAAAGAATGGCGTTCATGTCATGGTTAGGAGTCAAATTTATTTCTGTTTTGATTGCAAAATAAACATGTTATTATTATTTACTATATTTTCATGTAATTTGACCAGAAAGGAAACAAAATTTCGGTTTTATGTTTAAAGTTTTGATTTTTTAATATCATTTTACTATAAATTGGTTGACGTCGAAAGTTCAGCAAAAGACTTAACAATTCCATAAGTCGCATGTTTACTGCCAAGGGTTGTTGCTGCGATGGGCTATTGGCTATTGCAAGTTTATCTTTTATACTTTTGTTTATAAATTCTGCTCTTAATTGAAGTGTACAATATTTTTACATGCTAGTTAACTAACCTAGGTTTGGTCTGGATCTAGTCAAGTTGGGTAGACTGGCAGAGGAGTGACGCATACAGTTGTTGTGAAGGTTGCGCCGAGTGACCATCTTACACCAGGTAGTGCGAGGTGCATCTGAGTTGGCCATGGCTGGACGTCTGGTCTCTGCACTGGACCATGTTCCCGACCCACTGCCACTACCACTGCCACTGCCAGTCACACTTTCCCCTGAAATATTACAATAGATCTTACATAACCGAATATCTGGTAACATGTAAGGAAATAAGAAATTTAAAAAAATGTTTTGGTTATAACAATAAGTGAAATTGATCATAAAAATCATTTTGTTTGTATAAAAGTGACTCACTTAATATGGTACTTCAATCACAGATTCACAATTTCTCTATCAAGGAATACAACTTTAGAAACATAGAGAATATAGAATCACCTGTATCATGGCAATCTGAATCTTCCCCCATGACAGTACTGCCTTCAAAGGCTATGGTGTAGTTGTCCTTGTTGGCCTGGCAAGTTAGCAGAATGTCCTGTTCCTGACAGTCCAGAGAGTCTACACTATAGTTGGGGCACTGAGGTAGAGGACTCTCTCTGACTGGTGAGAAGAGAGGACCAGACTTGCACATGGACTCACATTGTGCGCCCTCCTCCTCCTCCTCCTCCTATACAACACATCACACAACTTATAACATTACACTCTAGAGAGTCTACACTATAGTTGGGGCATTGAGGTAGAGGACTCTCTCTGACTGGTGAGAAGAGAGGACCAGACTTGCACATGGACTCACATTGTGCGCCCTCCTCCTCCTCCTCCTCCTATACAACACATCACACAACTTATAACATTACACTCTAGAGAGTCTACACTATAGTTGGGGCATTGAGGTAGAGGACTCTCTCTCTGACTGGAGAGAAGAGAGGACCAGACTTGCACATGGACTCACATTGTGTGCCCTCCTCCTCCTCCTCCTCCTATACAACACATCACACAACTTATAACATTACACTCCAGAGAGTCTATACTATAGATACTTTAGTCCTTTTAGTACTGTACTTAGTAAAAAGAAAATCAGATTTTAAGGAATGTGACTTTAAGGCAATCACATTAAGAAATAAAAAATACTGTGCTCTGTGGTATAAGCAACAAACTGAAAAACAATATTTCTGAGGTATAAAGAAAACTTCATCATTTACGTCAGTACAATTCTTTAGGTTGAAGAAATTTAAGCGCTCAAAAAGCGTAAGTAACCATGACTGCTGACTTGCTGCTGGAGATTCTATTTTCTAGGTATCTTGTTTTTAGATTTTATCTCAAAAAATGTCAGTAAATTAAATTTACTAGCTATACAGCAGATATCCATATGACACTCCAAAACTGTTGAGAATCTTTCTTTCCCAACTAAAAGCTAAAGTGGTTAGGGCCAAATTTCTTCTTTCTTCCAGTTCTTCCGAATGGAACCAATGATTTATTACATCAAGCACATCAAGCAGTTTTAACCCTTCTGCTCAGTGGTATGGTGAAAAATGAACTGAAAATGGATTTGTAAAGAGCTCCTTGTGCAGGTTGAAATTGTGACATAACTGGATTTAGACTATCTATCGCAACAACCTGTGATACTGATTTGCGTGAGAGCTTGCACGAGGAGTGTCATGTAAAATCATGTGTGTTTCCATCATCAGACAAAACTTGTGCAAGATCTGTTACAAGTTTTATGGCCTGTGTCAACCTATCTTTGAACTGGATACAGTGGTTCATTGCTTAGAATGATTACATTGTAGAGTTTAAAAATAAAAATCATTGTCTGAACATTGATTTTACCTAATTTAACTAAAATGTGGTAAAGGAATTGTTAAAAATCATTAAATTTGAGGGATGAGAGAACATTTTCAGAGCCAAAACATATTTTTCTAGATTTCAATAAAGGTTCAACTTACACAGGGTCAGTTAATTTGCTTTAGTATTTTCATTTTGTTCATAACATTTGGATTAGCAACAAACATTGTCATAGTAAGTTGGGATGATTGTATACTAATAATTTCAAGTCTGCCAAACTTGGCTATAAATTATGTACACTAACAAATTGTTTTGATGTCTGTAGGCTATTATAGATAACTCCACCTGCTCAAGTTACTTCAATCAGATACTTAAACTTTAATTGAAGTTTACAAATCACAGCAGAGATGTAGCCCATATGGATAAACAATTTCACCAACCAGCAATCTTTTATTTATTTGCTTCAAAAACTAAAGACAAAAGACTTTAGACATTAGACTTTAGAAAAACATATACAACCAAGTGCTATTTTCAATGTTGTTAAAAAAATTTCTGACATTTCCATATTGAAGCAAAATGAGGAGGCTGGTGTTATGTAATTAATTTATCATAGTAAAAATCAATGCACAATCCATTAATTTATACAGGGAATAAACACAAATGTATCATGAAACAGTCTATAATCAAGACTATCAAAGACTACAACAAACCAGGCCTTAAACTCGATATAATTATTTTTAAGGTGTATTTAAAATTTGATGAAAGAATACTAACAAACAAACTAACGTTACATAAATTTATTAAATGGTTTAGAATTGGTATTAGTAACTAAAACTATGTCAAGCTAATGGTAAAGTAAAGGCGCCAGTTTGACTCACATATGACAGCGTCTGTTGCCGAATGTTGTCAATCAACTGAACATAATTTATCCTATCGTCAATTAATTTGCATTTACATTCTTGTACCATATACATTCGTACTGTTTTATCTTGTTCACTTTGTCCCGTGGCAGATGCCATAGGACAAAAATAAGGTATTAAAAGAAGTGTACTAATTGTTGATTTCTTAGGAATTATTGGCCAAAATTATATACAATAAAAAGTTGTTACCGGTACTGCAAACAATATTCACTAAGAAAGGTTCCTTGTAAAATAATTTTAAAAGTTTTTTGATCTTATATTTTTAGCACAATAGAACACAACTAAAACGACACTTGAAAACAGACTATTGAAATATTTAAACTTGATACTTTTATATGCATTTATTTGAGGTTATAGTTACAAAAAAAGTATAATTTGTCAATCTTTAAGGTAGCAAAATTGAACAAGTTTTTTTTTTAATAATTTTATGGGGAGATGGTAAATCTGAACAAATCAATAATACAAATCTAACTCATGCACATACCCAAGAAAAATTTTTTTAACTAAACAAATCAAACTTATACACCCATGCAAGCTGAGGTTAAAGCCAAGTTTTAATCACTGTCATACTTCAATTAAACATAGTACAAAAATGGATGTAGAACTTGATACAGTGTGGTACAAATATAATTGAGTTTGCAGAGCCAAAATCACTAGAAAAGGAAATGGTGCAGCTAAAGGGCACCACCCCCCCCCCCCCCTCTGTCTTTTGATTTGAATTACGTAGTAGGTTTGACATATAGGTCTACATTATGCTACTATTGTTTTATCTAAAATTAAATGCTCCTGTGTGTTGCACTAATCCTTTAGGTTACAATTCAGTTAGAACTGTTAAAGACTGAATGTCAAATACAGAGCAATCATACATGTTTAAACATAATTTTAATTTTAATTTAATTTTAAACATAATTTTAATTTTAAACACATTTTTGACTCAAGTACACCAAGTACTCAAGTTTTGAGTTGTAGATGGGGCTGTCAAAGACCTCTCAAACAATATAATCAATCAATATTAATGTAAGAGCACCATTACAGTGAATCTGAGAGAGATGTTGTGAAAGAAGGTAATATTATCTGATCATGTAATTTTAGCATTACGAGGTTTTCAGTTAAGTAATAGATCTCCAGCTCCAACTCATGTACAGTTCTTATTATAACAATCTATTATTTCATATCATCAGGTCTCGTTTCTTATAGCAGACCCATTGATTATTTTCTGTCCATTCAAACAAAGGCCTAAATAACTGGAATTCCATACTTGTAACAAAGAAAATGGGCTAAATGGGCTGCCATTAAAATAGTTAGCCAAACACGTCAATACATTTATTCACAAGCCAACAAATAACACAAGTCTCACGCAAATACGATTGAACAAAACAAACTGACAAAAAGAAAGATTAACAAAGAAACTATCAAGTATGGCAAACTGCAGACAATTGCAGTGATGAGTCATGAGTGGAGAGGATTCTATTGGCGCACAATTTCAAGTCTTTTCTCTTGCTCACACTCCTAACAAAACTAAAACCTCTTGCGCCCCTGGCTTCAGGCCCATTTCCGCCCTGATCTCAGCGATTTTTTGTTCCTAACTGTAAAAGCAGTGTCTTGCTGGAAACAATATATTCAATGTGCAATATGTAGTTCTAAAACTATGAGACCACTAGTTATACTTTCCATTGTAATCTTTAAACAAAATAAAACGTCAGATGACAGCAGGGATATCTAAAATTAGGATTGCAATGGTCAGAATAGCCCTAAAGACAGATAGTTGCAACTGAAGAAAGAGCGATGTCTAGAATTAGAAGTTTTTGGCCCAACTAGTTTAAAGAGAATGATGTTTTGAACTGATAAATCTTAAACTAGTAGACCTCTTTAACATAACTAGATATTTTGTGCATAGTCTACTGAAAACATTGGGTTAGGCCTACCTGGAATTGAACGATCAGTGGCGAGCGTGTTAATGCATGCAGTGAATGTAAATACATTCATTACAGTAACAACTTGCAAATTTATTTTCCAACTGTACCATACTTTACGGTTTATAATAAAACAGATGTTTAATACGAAGCATACAAGTGATATTAATGGGTTAAGTAACTATTGTGTCAGGTAAAAAATAACAAAACAAAAGAAATAAAAATAAGAAAGCATACCACAAGCATGCACTGGCTAGCATGCAGTAGGCTACAACTAACCTGGGAACTTAATTGGGGGCTAAGGGAGGATTCAAAATCAAATTTGACCATCATAGAGCCAGAAACACTAGCAAACATCTCCCCTCTGCGATCGGACTGCCAACATACACAACGGAATATCATCGCAGGCTAATCTAACTTACTGTACATGCAATAAATGACTACAGAGAAAACATTGCAAAAAACTATAATAGATATATGTAGAACAGCAACCTTCGTTTGAATCTAAAGCCCAAAGATTATTATAAGGCAAATGGTTTTAATACAATAGAGAACAATTTTGAAGCAGACTATCTTTATAAGTTCTACATAGAACGTAAGGTTGAAAATTGATGCAAGTAACGCTACATAGAAACAAATAAAATTGGGCAGGGATGGAAAAAATAAAGTTATAAATTAAGTGACTGTTTGGTTTTCAAAATGTATGCAGTGATGACAGTAAAAACAGCAATTAAGTAGGATTAGATGTCATGTAAATCACTTCTTTTTACCTCTTCCCATAACTTTTCTTCTCATGTGCGTAATTTAATTTGTATAAACTAATGTATGTTCAACAGGCAAATGTTCTATATCATGCAATTTAAGTTTTGTTTTTTATTTACATCTACTTTTGTTTCATGACAATTTGTAAAATGCGATCTGAGCTATCCTTAGCTAGATCCTTAGCTAATAGCTTTATTGTACCAAATGAAAATTAATATATTTGATTTTATCTTAAAATCCCAAAAACTAGAAAACCTAAGAACTTATGGATTTGCATGGAGGTTCCACTTGAGAGTCCTTGGAGCCTAAACGTTCTATCTTGTAAAACAATTTAAAACTACAAATAAAATTTCTAATCCCACAGTATACTATATATTTAAATTACAATCCCTCTGGCGTTTGATAAAATATTTTGAGATGGTAAATAGCTCTTCAGCGGCTGTTTGAAATTAACGAAATTAACATTGCTCTTATGGCGGGCAAATCCAAGATGGCCGTTAGCTTCCATGGACTCCCTTGGAGAACAATTCAAAACTACAAAGAACATTTCCAATATCACAGTAGATATTTAAATTTAAATGATAATCACTTAAGTGTTTGAAAAAATATTTTGGACGATAAATAACTCTTCAGCAGCTGTTTTCAATTATCCAAGATGGCCGCTAGCGGAGGCTAGTCCTTGGAGAAGCCTTAAGAAATTCTATCTGGGGTCTGCCCCAGTGGCCTTATAAGTTTCCAAGTAATAATTATGGAGAAAAAATTTGTTTACATTAGAGCACATGAATGGGGTACATTTAAATGTTTACACTTCTATTTAAGGAGACGGCAGTTAATATTTAAAATGTAATTTATTGAAACATGTGACATAAATATTTATTGTATTAGATAAAATAACGTTGGTTGTATTATTTTGTCGTTTGAAAATTGCTGGTTTTTTTGAGTAAGACTTTTTGTAATCGTTAAATAAAATTTTAAAATCAAGATTTCAAAATCTATGTTTTATTTCAATGCATCTAAATAACAGCATATTATTGAATCTGTGGAGTAGGCCTAACTTAATGTCAAAGGAAGCTTCCTTATCAAGCTATATCTATTGTAGGGATGGCAACTGCCTTTTTAAATCACTATATATTCATTTATGATAAGTACGCAAGAACGATAATCAGAGGTTCTTGATATTAGTTTAAAACATGTTGCCATCATTGAGATGAATATTTGATCATTTAAAATACTGTAGTAAAATTTTCACTAACGGAGAGTATGTTGCGGATATGATCCCAGTTCATATTTTTGGTAGATAATTAAAAGTAATAGCTGTTGGAGTTATTTAAAAAAAAATGTTTATATTTTCTGTAAAAAAACTTATGCAAGATGTGTAAAAAAATAAATTTATAAAGTTGGAAGATTGTGTGTTACTAGAGAGTTGAGAAAAGTAATTATGTGTGTACATTCTGATCAGTGAAAACGAGAGAATTGAGAAAAGTAATTATGTGTGTACAGTGAAAACGCCATAAATAACGTAGCCCTGCAACTCTTTAGACCTTTGAAGGTTGGGCTAACAAAGAAACTTTAACTTTGTGTCGGGTTTATAACGGCACTATTTCACAGGAAAAATAATAATAAAAGCAGCATTCAAAAATGTTTTTAAAGGCATCAGGAACACAATTTGTCAAACAAGGTTTTTATGAAGGACATAATTTTACTTAAAACTGGAAGAACTGACTTTAACACCATTATGGGTAAAGCCGCCACAGGTATGCTAAGTATTAAATTAAAGAAAGACAGCATGTACAAAGACAACTATGTGCAATAAAGGAACATACAGCTAAGATAAATAAAATTAAAAAATAAAATAAAATAATAAAATATCATCTAACCAACCACAAACCATGTGACAGCAATCTCACTAAAAATAATGACAGCAAAAGTAATTTAAAAATACAAGCATATCTACAATTAAACTGAAAACTATGAATACATGGCATAAGTGAGGATGCAGAAATGGTATTTTACGCAAAAATCCGGTAAAGAAACCACGGGAACATCAGTTATAGTTGATTAACATATTATTATTGGACATTTCTCTGTTCTGAGCCGATCTCTAGCAGTAGCGTACTGTACTAGACATTCTGTTTTGCCCTTTACGTGATTTATTGCTGTACAGTGATTATCACGTTTTTTGTTGAGTTTAAGGAAGCTGTGATTTTTAAACAGAACTAAAAAATTAATGTTAATGAATTGAAAATACCCCGATTGCGCAATACAGTATTGAATTTTATTGACTTGGAAATCCAAGTTATGACATCAATGCCTATTTATACGGTATTACAATGTTTTTAAAAGCCTTTCATAAATTTTTATATCATGTTGGACTACCCGTTGTTTTCAATTATGTGGTCCAGAATTTTATTTCTTGCTAGTGACAAAATCCGAATCATTGACGGTCGGGATTTTAGACGTCTGAATTACTGACGTTCTACTGTATTTACAAACTTTAGATTAGTCCACAAAGTAAGAATTTATTCTAGGGCTTTTGAAAAGATGCATCAAGATAGATAGAAGTTTGTGAATGTGAGGTAGGCCTACATACCTGGAGGTCCTGGCAACACATTGCAGGTAAAGTGGTTAGTATGTCTTCAGCTCTAAAGTCCTCCATGTCCACCTGAGCCAGCTGGGTGTCAAGGTCACGAGCAAGGTCATCGTAGCAACCTTCCTCATAGCTGGCTGACAGAGAGAGGATACTACGATGCTGTGTCTCTCGATATCTGCACAAACAACGTTCTCATTACTTTGTGAATACAGTACCATTAGATCAAGCAGCACTTACAATTTGAGGGACACCAAAATGATTTCTTTTAGCTTAATGATCAGAAATATTGACTGTCAAGATTAAATTTAAAGCGAAAACACGTGGGTATAATAATGAGGGCTGATAATATTAAAATTTGTATTGAGCAGGTCTTTGAAAAAGAAATTAAACCATTACAAAACATAACAATTGAAAATAGGAACCAAAATTAAAAAATTAAAATGTATTAAGTACATAGGCCTACCCATAGAGAGAATTAGAACTAGACAAACAAAATTCTCTAAATAAAAAAGCTTCTACAACCATAAACCACAATTTGATGAAAAATGTTATCTTAAAAAAGTAGGATGGCAGATATTGAAGAATAAAACAATGTGGATCCAACGAATACTGAACCTCAACTGACATAAATGATTCACTAGGGCTTTCAGAACAGAGGATGTCAACTATTAGACCCATCAAGCAATCTCCAACCACGCAAGCTGTGTATCAGCTGGTATTTGCAACTACACAGACTGTTGGACACAACCCCAACACAACCTAGCCAACGTTTAGGCATCTATGGTAGATTGATGAAATACTGTAGTTCAAATATTTCCATAAAGCTCCAAAAAGTACAGTATACCATCAGTAAAGTATTTTTTAATTGAATATGAAGTCCTAGCTTAAAGATTAAAATGAATTCTGAGTGAGCTTAGAATGCACGTTAGTAGCTTTGCTGATCAGCTGATTACTTGGATAGAAAGCTTCAGTTGCAAGCGACAGATTTCTTTTTGCACATTCAAAAAGCTTGGATTTTTTCAGGATGAAACAAGAGTTGGTATACAAAAGGTATCACTTACTGTAGGCTATAGAGTATTGGTAAGTGAGAATCTGGGAAACCAAGTGGTTATAGCGCCCTCTTTCAAATCCTAAGTGGTTGAATCATGAGAAAGGTCTCATTTCTGAGAAACCTATAATAATATCCAGGAAGTTGGATGATAATGAAGTATCCCAAGGTGTCATTTATCATTAGGCTAATAATTCAAGTCTATGCACCATTGAGTTGAAAGCAACTGCAATTTTTTATGAGTGTGGATGATATGAGGTTGTATGAATGATCTGGACTGGGAAGGTCCTATTGACTCTAATCAAAATGGTACAACCCCCAATGCTGTAAAAATTACAGTTAAAAAGGTTTTGTAATTTTTGTGGTTTCAACCCACCGTTTACCCATTATACGGGTTTGACAAGCTAATGGGAGAAAGTATCTGTCAATTTGCTTTTTATTGTTACTTGATTCAAGGGCTACAACTTAAAGGGACTCCCAACTACCAGACCTCACCATTATCACATCGCAAATCCCATGGATGCTCACTGGCCAGCCCCAGTCCTGTGAAGCCTAACAACTTTGTCCCTATCAATTAGGCATGAAATAATATTGTTAATGTAACCTAATTATATTCTAGTTGAGTGCATTTAGATAAGTTTTACAACTGTTTCCAACAAGCTGCTAAAGCCTCACAAGGCTCGACTGCAGCTAACTATAGATAACAAATCATATTCCTTCCAAAGTCCCAAAATCTATCAGTCAGCACTCAGCAGCATTTGTATTCAATCTTAAACAAACTACGTGAATTTTAATCACAGGTAATAATATAAACAGCCTTTAAGAACAAAAATAAAACTAATAATAAATATCGTATGGATCCGTAGTTTGCTTTTACGCTGCAATGAGGTTCCTCGCCGCTTACTGATATTATTTGTGAACAGAATGACACCATTCACAGCTCTGTAGCTGACGTACGCTTTGCTGTGTGTTTTAGAAAAACTTAAGTTATTGAATCTCCTGTCGCGTGCGAGATAAGGTCTATACATTTTTCACCACAAGAAACATATCCGATGCTGACATTCGTCATCAGATGGCTGAAGTTTATGAACCTAAACAATGATAGCGGGGAAAGAGCAGAAATAGGCTAGGGAAATTAAAAAGTGCTGTGGAAATGTTCATTTCAAAAGTAATTGCGTTTTTGGTGGGTACCCAGACTTCTCACAGAAGACCACAAAACAAAAAGGTTTTCACTGCTATTTTTACACTCCATAACCCATTTCCGTACTTTACCTTCACTCATTGCATTAGGGCCATAGCCTTCATCCAATATGTTTCTTGTGGGAAAAAACGTATTACTGACCTTATCTTGTATGCAACGAGAGATTCAATAGTTTAAAATATAAATAAAAAACTCAGCGAAGCACACATGTCAACTATAGAGCTCCAAATGGTGAACAGCCCTTACTTAAAAAACCACCCTCGTACAGCGTATGGCCTTTAGGAGTGATGGCAAATGCCATATAGTAGGCTGGTGAAAACTAGTGAAGGTTTTGCACTTAACACGTTCACTGCTGAAAAGCGTCAACAAGGCGATCCCTAAAATGTGACGAGAGCCAGACATAAACACCAAACGGTGCATAAGAGAGACTCTCCAGCCGAAGCCATCCGCTAGTGGCAAGAACCTAAAACGGATGCAACTGAAATAAATAATGGAACCGGCAACAACATGCTGACAAAGATTAGTTGATCCCCGATAACTATGGAGCTCACAGTAGACCAATCCTTATAACGCTGTACCGTGACTCTGACCGGTGTCGTACACACCCTGTGCTAGTATGGCATGACTCGGATTGGAGTTGTCAGCAGTGAACATGTTCAAACTTAAAATAATCATAGGCTATTCATGTTTAATCATCATTTTAAATTGTAATTACATCTATCAGTATCTACTGCAACAAAACTAGGATGTAGACTGTCCCTTGAAAAAAAAAACTAAAATGTCATATGTTGTTAAATAGAGAAAACTATATAAGTACCTGAAATTCCTGATTCCCTGACAAAAGTAACCACAATATTCCACATAATCACTTAACAGTATCGCTTCTTCAAGGTTCCAATAAGTGAAACTATGACCTTCCATTTTACCAAACACTGAGTTGTTTGACACGGCACTAGGATTGCATGTAGACAATCATACCAATCATGACAGAATGAAACTTCCACATTCCATTTCAAATACATCCTCCATTACATTCGTTCACAAACCAATTATAACAGCAACAGCCCTGTAGAGATCTGGTCCGCTATGTAACTTAGCTGCATGATGCACTGAATTCACTGTTATCTTGTAAATTAAATCAAATCTGTATCACTTCCTTTAACTTATAACTAGGATATCATTGACAAAACGAACGGCCAAAACAAAATGCCAGTTGCAGGCAAGTCAAACTGGCATCTTGCCATTTGGCGAGAACAGCGACTGGGCTCCGACAATCTTAGCACTTCACCTCTGGTGGGAGAGGTTCAAATCAACAGGCTGTCTACATGTACTCAACTGGAATATAATTAGGTTACATTAACAATATTATTTCATGCCAACTTGACAGGGACAAAGTTGTTAGGCAGCTTCACAGGACTGGAGCTGGTCAGTGAGCATCCATGTGATTTGCAATGTGATAATGGTGAGGTATGGTTGTTGGGAGCCCCTTTAAGTTGTAGCCCTTGTATCAAGTAACAATATCAGCAAATTGACAGCTACTTTCTCCCATTAGCTTGTCAAACCCGTATAATGGGTAAGCAGTGGGTTGAAACCACAAAAATGACAAAACCTTTTTAACTGTAATTTTTACAGCATTGGGGGTTGTACCATTTTGTTTAGTCAAAATGAGCTTTTCAGTCCAGATCATTCATACAACCCACAAATCATCCACACTCACAAAAAAATACAGCTTTTAACTCAATGGTACATAGAGTTTAACAATCCCTTTAAATCCCACTTTTAAATTACAACAATGAGAAAGAATATATTATCAAGCAATAGGCGTGAAATGAGAGCGGCAACACCCCACGAAATACAGATGACATAATTCTGAACTAATCACAGTGCAAAGTAGTATGCGAGCTTCGAGCTAACCTGTCACTCTAAATTCTGGGTCCTTTTCTCAGCTAATCTGAATATTCTGAATCTCAACTCAATCTGACATTTTTCAAAAAACTAAAGTAAACTGTCAGCTCCGTCCGTAGAGATTGAGGTTAGGCCTATGTCTTAATCTTAGCGATTGCATAAGTACCCTGTTTAAGTATTTGAAATAAAATTATCAATGGAGGTTTGTTTTAGGCTATACCTCATTATAGGTATTCCCTGTGATAAATTATTTGCTATCTTCATCTCTACTTAAGAACAAATCACTTTATTTTAGTTCCCTTCATAGTTTTTTTTCTTGTTATTTTTTCCTTGTTGTTTATTCTTTGTTATATTTAATGTCCTGGGTTCGGATCCTGATGGTCACTGCCGCAACATTTCATCAGTACGGTACATTTCACTTTTGTACTGTACCGGCTCACCTTCCTTTGCTGGATATGTTCCATGCAAGGGCAAATAGTCTATGTGGACGGTTAAATGCAAGGTTAAAAGACGCCATCAACCTCTTAAAAAAAAGTATGTAGAGGGTAGGGGGTATGTAGGGATACCAGATCGTAGGTTACATCTTGTTACAACAAACACAGGCCCAAACCACGATCAATATAAACAAAATTCAGTGTTTGCCCAGCATTTATACGACCTAAAAGATTATATCTGTGTGATTTCTAACGGTCTAGAGGTGCTACATGTAGGCCTATGCAGTAAAGGTAATAAATTACAACACATTGGAGGAATTCAAAATTTACAAACTAACTCATACTGTACCACAACAACATTGCCAGTGGACACATTTCCAACGAAGAAATGCGGTTCCAGTCACACTCTATTTTCAATGTGCTCATAAACTTAAAAGTAACTGGCCACCTGACCTTTGTCCTACTGATAACATGGACAAGAATCCAAGAATGAAGAAGGAGCCTCTGACATTGTAGTCTATTACCTACACTGGGACCGTAAGTGTCAGGTGATAGGCCTATGAAGAGTATTAAGTTTGTAACGTATCTTTTATTTATTTGTGTGAGTGTGACAGTATGGCTCTGTTTTTGTCAACCTAACGGGTGAAATATATACTAGGTCAACCAACTGATCTAGGCTTGACGGGATAAACTATAGGCCCCCATTATATTATTGGACTAGGCTATATCATACTAAATTCTGGTAAGAGGGAGTCATCTTCCTGAGGAGGAATTGATTGGCAGACTACAATTATTTATCAGGGGCTTGGATCTTTGAGGTTTGTAAACAACTTATTGGGGTGTGTTATAATTTGAAAAATTTGGATGAAGATAACCACATAAGATGTTCAGGATATTCCTTCATCCACAGTATCTTCATTCTTTAACAATGATTCTTGTTAGACCTACTGAAGTTTTAGGTTTTAGAAAATCCTTTCTTTAAACGATTGGATAAGTTAGTTTAAGTTCTAACTTACGGTACCTTCTTACATTGTCATACAACTAATAAACAGTACAGGCGTAGGCTAAATTTATTTAAACTTATGAAGCTGTCGGGGATAGCTCTTATTGGCTCAGAGGTTAAAAGTTGTCTGTTGAAGCTAATCACTCACAAATTTGTTTACCTTTTCCCCCCAACGGCATAGCCCTCCACTTTACGAGAAGAAAATTCCATTTAAGTTCTTTAAAAATCAGGAACATTTTAATAATACATTCTTTTAGATGGTTACTAACTTAGGCATTATAATGTGCCTACAATGCATGACTATCTTACTTGAAAAGTTATCAGGATAAGCTTATGGGCTAAGTTAGTTTGATTGCTAAGAATAATAGCCTATAGCCTGTGTAGGCCTAACTAAAAACGTTAACTCACGGTAGACCAACAAGTAAAGTAGGCATATTTTAAGATAGGCCTATAATTTAGGGCTTTAAATTATTAGGAAAAGAGACTAGGAAGCCTACTCTAGAAGATTGAGACATAGACCTAACTTACCCATAATCAAGAAACCACTGGTAGTCAGAGTTGTCCTGAATAAAGTCAACATCTTGAGATGAGGTGTTGCTGAGGTAACTAGCTGTTGAGTCCAATGTATTAGAGTTGCAGTCGGACTCAGGGCTGTGCAGGGAGGCCAGCTTCTCTTCCGTTGTCATCCCTCGCGGCTGTCCCGCCACACCTGCAAGAATCAAACAATGCTTATTCGGAAAAGGCTAATGGAATTCTGAAATTATGCTGTAGCCTTTTATAGGCTTATGCATATATAAAATGTTGACTCTGCAAGGTTCATGGTAGGCCCATTTTTGGTAGCCATCACAATGCCTAGTAGTTTGGGGTCTAACTTATAGGCTTGGTTATGAAACCCTTGCCAAAAATTTGATATAGACTAAGGCATAAGGCCAGGCTTACGTCGAAAGCCAAATTGTAATTTGTATTATTTCCAGCTCTTGTCTGGTCCAACTGCTTGAATTATCATTGGATCAAGGTTAAGTAACTTAGTTTCCAAATAAGTTAAGGGTCACAAATCTAAAAAGTTAGCCTATGCCTAACCTAACTTATAAACTGCAAAACATAACGCAACGAGGAAAGAAAACAAAAACGAGACAAAATAAATTAATCATTTATAAGACTATCTACAGTATTCAGTTTTCGTTAAACGGTGTCACTTTCAATGCTTACCATATTCATCATATTTTATCTGTATCACCATCGCGCTCATAATATAAAATTGAACTTGCAAGTGTACATTAATTCCCAACTTATTTCATAGTTATTATACTGATGCATATAATAGAAATAGTCTAAATGTAGATAAATCGTTCGATTAGTGAATCGTGTGCTGATATAATCAGTAAATCAGTTCGTAGTCGTAGTTCGTTCTCGTTGCCATTTCCCCCCCATTCAGTGTTGCCACCACGTTGTTGTGATTTTACCCTAAAGGCGGGCTAAAATTACCCTAGATTACCCTAAATCTACTTTGAGTTACCCTAAAAATTACCCTAAATGTTAATATTTGCGTTTAATGCTATAAAACATTGTTAAAATCATATAAATCTTACATAAGGTGGTTAATTATACTAAATTAAGTTCCAATATCAATCAATTTACGTAAAATTATACTTAATTCTAAAAAACCACCCAAAAGAAGAACAAAATGTTGATATTGATCAGCTCTATCGACTATCTTATAACAAAAAATACCCCCGCCGCAGCAAACCTGCAGACTAAGCGAATTTCCATTTGATTTACACTGAAATGTCTACTTAAAAATATAACATTTATTCCCGATTTAAATAGAATTAGTTTAACAAGTACTTAGGTTTGCTGCATCAGGGAGGTAAAACTGTTTTTTTTTTTATGTTAATAGTTAGTAAGAAATAAAAACATTTTTCAAATTTGATCAAAATATGTTCATAAACAAGCAAACTACAACAGTTTACTTATTCTCCATAAGAATAACATGGGAATTTTAAATTTACAATTTTTTTGAATTTTCTCCGTAACCATTAGGCGCATAATAACGCTTCAATATACTAAATTATTTGTTTTTTTAAGCTCTACAAAATGGTTTGGAAAGAAATTGCTAAATGTTATGTTTTTTGGGTCAAAAATGCGAAAAACCTATTTTTACCCCATAAAACCCCCCGTAAACCCCCGTTCCCATGGTCCGATCATGCTGGATCGCGAACTCGTTCGAATAAACGTAGGTTTACACGTTTGTACCGAATTTCATCAAAATCGGATCATTTTTGCTCGAGTTATCGTGCTAACGGACACATATATATATATATATATAAATATATAAATATATAAATATATATATATATTTGAATTTGAACGGATGGTGTTTTTGGTCTCTAGGAACCTCAAAACGAAAAAAAAAATCGGTCCCGCGTCCAGGTCTTACCATGAGTACTACGGTAATAGCTTATTCCCTATATGGGAAATTCGCTAATATCGAATCAGAACTATCGTATTTTTTTACTGTATCGACCCATTACTACTGTTTTTGGACAATCATATCTTTAAAATACAGTACGGTACCACCAAAGCTTTAATCTATACCGGTACATAGTAGTAATTTCTTGACACAATTTGTAAAATAATCCAGTTTAATTCAATTCAATCACATAATTAAATATCAAACCCAGTACCTAATGAATAATATTTCATATTTGATTAGGCCTATAACGTGTTATAGAATCGAATACATTCTAAAACAGATAATTCCCAACTATTGATAAGATCGATTAGGATAACTTATTATGAAAAATTCATAATAGCAATCGATTTAAACCGGTTGAATCGAATATGATGGTTTGGCCATAGTATGTAATGAACGTTTTTTTGCCAAATTTTGAAGTTTTTTTCATTTTTGTAGTAAAATTTCCATTGTTATTCTAACTTTTAGTTTTACCCTAAAATTACCCTAAATCTACCATTACCCTAAACTTTACCCTAAGACCAGTAAATTACCCTAAAAAAGGGTAATTACCCTAAAAGTGGCAACACTGCCCCCATTCCAGTCATAGTCAAAGTCAACGTTCTGTCGTCTGGTGGGATTGGGAAGTCAACTAAACTCAACTTCAACAACTCAAGTCTCAACTCATCTGGATCAGGACTGGATCCTGGATCTCCCTCGACCCTCGGTCCCATTCGACGATTCGAGATTCGATCGAGTCAATCGTCACTCGTCACTCCCTCTGCTGAGAGGATTACCCCGGACTACCTCAACTAGAGCACTGTGACTAGAGTCGCTTGTGAGAGTGACCAGACAGACACACTCATCGCATCCTTCGTTCGGCTCCTCCTCAGTTATCAAAATCAAATAAAACTACTACGTTTACCTTCCTTCATGATTCACACAATCCCAATCCGATGCGACCGGATTGATCTTAAATCATATCCCAACATATGACCATAGAATCCGGTATATGACGTATAAATTACGGTGTAGGTGTTTAAAATGATTAGGCATAGACTAAACATACTCCTTTGTGTTAGTGTATTTATTTATACAGTATACACATTTTTGACAAGATAAACACGAGTTAGACTATGGTTTAGGTTCTACTCACGAGAAAATTCTGTATGATTAACTCATTACCTCCCTCCTTTGCTTGAGACCAAAATAAGTATTGGATTAACAACGTCAAAAGATTAATTATTTTAACATACCTAGGTATTTTAACAATATTTACAGACTTCCGTGATGGAGTTGAATTATACGTGCTTGCGTGGACAATGATCTTGGGATATTTGAATTATGTTGAACACATTGAATGGATTTTTAAAATTAAATTCATTGGCCGTAAATCTTGTAATAAAAATCACGTGAGATAAAGTCTATGGTTACTCGTGGTTGGTAAGGGCCCAGTTTTAGCACTGAAAATTTGTCTGTTAATTATTTTTAAAATTTTCAATTACTAGCATCATAGACTATAGACTAACCAACACAAGTACAGTATACTTCTCATCCCATTGTTCCTCGTTTTTCGTGTCTAGATGTCCGGTGACACTGATCGCTATAGTGTTGACAACATTTTGTTTCTATTAGTTTAGGGTTAGTTACATGATTTGTGCTTTGCTGTTTGGTTATATAACTACAGGGCGAGTTATTGTTTATGTTTTTATTTGGTTAAACGAAGTGTTAAATGACTGAAATGACAAGAAACAGATTGTAAACAAAAGATGACCTCTACAGTGCACCGGACAGAACTAACAATAATTTGGCTTCAGCTGTTCCATCAGGTCGAGAAATGTTTTTAAGGCTTAATGTATTATATTCTGTGCTTATTCATTATTGTTATTTTTGTAATGTATCAATGTAATGGGTTTCCCGTTGGAATAAATAAATAATTAAATAAGGGAGTGGGGCTATGTTTTTTTATCAATGCTAGCATCAAGTAGTTAGAGTGTGGGACGTCTTTCTAGGAAGATAAGATGATATTAGAACCCTTTTTCTGATGGTGAATTTCTATTTATGCATTACTCCGTTTATCTGATTTCGAAAACTGATTGGTTTATGATTTTTTTTCATTTTAGAAAATTCAAAACCTATACATTTTAATTTTAAATAACCTGTAATAACCTGTAACCTGTAATAAGTTAATAATATAATTTTAATATAAAACTCCCCAATTTTAAATACTCAATGTCCATACGGTGCATAGGGTAAAATTGTATTGGTGTTCTTCGTATATTGCAATTCTTTGACTTGTTGGAACGGAAATGTCTAACGAACAAATAAAACAGATTTAAATAAATGTATGTATAATAATAAATAATGTATTATAAAGAGGAATTGTTACTTGATGGTATTTTATTTGCTTAATTAACAGATGCAGGTCTACTGCATAGCGTTGGAATGGCTGATCTCGTGGGGCTGGGCTTCTGTCCCTGAGGTCCCGGGTTCAAATCCCACCAACCACCAATGACCTTTAGCTAATGACTTGGCCCTCTATGCCTAGCTCTAAGTAATGAGTTATTTCCAAACTAGAGCCTATCGTCCTTGAATGTGAAGAAAGAGAAACAAACTGTATCGTGCTATCACTTCCACAGATGTTATTGAATATTGTGTTACCTGAGGGCTATAACACACAGTGCTCGGTGATGTTTAGATTAGACGGGTGGAAGGAAATGATCGGTTTCCAGACAGTTAACCACGAGATAACTGTTTCCTCGGTCGTTATGGTCGACTCGTGCTACTTGGGTGGCTGGCGCCCTTCGAGTTGACGAAGGACGGTCCTTAACAATATGGGATCCATCTCCGACTAAATGGATGGCGAGAGTTGTTATATTGATAGAGAAAGGGTGTGGAACCTCGAGATATTTATATTTAAAGGGGAAAAACACGATGATGGCTATTTTCATTAAATTATCTGTGGCATTATATTGACACTAAGCTAATTCCACTCAAGCAATAGCATGCTAAGATCAGAGAAAAACAGTATGGGATAGGGCAAGAAAGATTGCTGACAATTACTTTAAGTCTTGCAACCTGCAACAAACTCAGCAAAATCGAAACACTCAAACGAGTCCTGACCTGTGGAAGTAATATTATAATTATCCGTTTAACTTGTGCTGTACGAACTTTGGAAAACGTTTCGCTAATTTAATTTAAGGTCTACAAAAACGTTATACGAAGGGGCCATTGACCGATAAGACACTTTGGTCATC